ACACCAGAATGTAACCGTACTTTGAAGGGGAAGATACAATCCTCCCGCGGCAACTACGTCGCATCACAGCAACACACCATAGCACATGATGCTGTACACAGGTAACAGAATGAGAGGAGATAGAACGCCGGCTTACGGCCAGCCAAGTGCGACCCAAACTTAGACACAAACAGATGCGATCAGGCGTCGCAAATTGGAACCAGATCATTGCATAGACCTCAGGCAAGCAAAGAACGGAGTCACAAACAGCTCATGCAGAAGCTTAAAGGCATCCAGGCACCGGGCGACACCCAGCCTCAGAGTAGCATCATCAAGGGTGCTGTCAATGGCATGCTGCTTGAGAGCACAGACAAGTTCACACAAGTTGGCAAATCCCCTCTAAGCATATAGTCCTTTGCTATTGGGTTTCCTGCTTCGGCTTTGCTTGATTCGCGACAGGACAGCCTGAGTAAACGTTCTGTAAATCGAAGAGGTTCATCCCGGCTGGCACTATCAGTTGCTGGTGGTACTGAACCAGGTGTACCGGCTTGTTCTAGGTTTGTTTTCATCCGCCACGCCATCATGCACAATCTCGCGCGGAAGACCCGACACATGCCTGGGCAAGCGTGCGGCACAGACGCGGCAGTCCTTCGCAGATCCTAAACGCTGCTCCTTGGTAGAAGGGTCGCCCAATGTATCAGTTGGCCTGTCAGAGAAGGCACGATGCCCTCAGCAACTTGAAGTACCAAGTACCACTCCAAAGTCTTCTGCAAAGTGTCTTACATGACTCCGTTTTTCTTTACGAAAGGAATGCTTTGCGAGCATCAGCCATTATGCCGTTCCGTAATTTGCGCCACGAATGTCCTTCTTATTTAGGGCACCAAGCACGGCCTAAGCCTAAGCATCACCCTAAGCGTGTCCAGCTATGTCTAGCAGGAATCTCAGCCGCACACAAGCTCCCGAGAGCAGCCTGCTGTGCCTGGCGACCACGAAGCACAGCACTTCTCTTCTTTGCACTGTAGGCGATCGCCAGGCTGAAAGGCAAGAGGCTTTCGGGGCTTCCATCCGGCCTTCGAGCGGGGAAAGTTCAGAGTCGCTCTTGGAGCTTTTGGCATGTACTACCTCTTGACGATTACAATGCAAGGCTAGCGAAAGGAGCCGCACCCTCGAAAGCTAAGGAACGAGCGGTCCTGTAGCTGACCCATGTTTCAAGCTACATGCTTCAAGAGTGCCGGAAAGGCCGAATGGTCGTAAAGCTGCACTCGCATCAACGGAACCTCAGAACTCAGAGCTCGAGGACTGGCAATGCGGGAGCTACACTAAGGAACACACTGGGCACAGCAAGAGCATCCATGTGGAGAAGAAGCCGAGGAACTCCAGCGTGTACATGGCCTGAGCATCTCTGAGATGCCCCCTCGCAGGCTCTCGAGAGTTGCTGTCGGCCGGGCCGGCTTAGGAGAAAGCGGCGTGACCTCGCAAAGGGCCGTCGTGTGCCGTGTTGGCTACCATTACAAAGTACAAAGCATGAGGCCACGATGCGAATGATGCAATGCGCACTTACAGCATCATTAGCTACCTCTAAGGCGCACACCGTAATCATCTGCCAGATTGGAGAAAGCTTCTTGGAGCGAAATGAGCGAAAATCCTGCGGCAGAATGGCAACACTCGCCCGCACAAATCACCCCCCCACAACAACCTGAACAACAATCAGTGGAACCGTAACAAGTGATCGGCAGCCAGCATATAACGCTATTTCTCCATGGGCAACAAAGCCGATGCAATCATAAAACTCAGCACCATCGCTTCCTCTAGCCAACAAACAGCGTCGTCAGCACCAGCAACAGCTGAGAAAAAGACGCTGTAATCAACGGCAAAAGCATTCATGGCTACTGATAGTACTACTAGTACAAAAACTAAAACGAACAGTGCAAACACTGTTGATAGTATGACGACTACGACCACAACGACTAGTACTCCACTACCGCTACCACTACCGCTCACAATGCCGCAAAGACGACGACTACTGCGTCGACGACGCCTGCTTCGTGCAACACTATAAATAGTTCTCGATATCATCATCATCACCACCATCATCATCAGCATGGTCAGCAGCATCGTCACCAGCAGCTTCATTGTACGCATAACCACAATCTTCGTGTTTATTTTAAGTTTGATGAGACACACCCCGAACACATCAGATTCGGACGTGTGTGCTGTTGGCATAACATGCACTGGAATCAGAGGTTCGAAACAGCGTGCTCCTCTTCCTGCTGCTGGACATGTTACAGCAACACAAAACAGCCAACCACAAAGCCAGAGAACGTGCGCCCAAATCCCACAAACTCGTAGCAAACATCCATCACCGTATGCAGACCCATGTGTTCCCCACCCACATGCCAACCAGTGTTATGATTGTCTCTAGCCGCCGACAGCTCGTTATCAAACCTGGGTCGTCACTATCACCATCAGCACTATCAGCAGCAGCTGCCCCACTGCTGCCAATAACCACTATCACCATCATTCTTGCCATCGTGAATAGCAACAACAACTACCACAACCAGTCAGCAAGCAAAGCTGGCACACAAACACACGCACACACACACACACAATCACAACAAGGGCCACAAACATAAGAACCATAATCCGTAAAAATGTCCGATGTGCCCCAGATTCTGCGAGAGATAAACTATCGGCATCTTGTACTATGGGTACATGTTTGTTGCAGCATCGCTGCTTCAGCATTTTTGTGTACTGCCCCTGCTGCACCGCCCCCTCCGTCAGCATGGTGCAGTCCGCCGGACTCTGACATCACAGGCGAGCTGACGAAGTCAAAAGAGCATCACCATCATGATTCGCATGATGGTCTTTGTCGTCACTGTTGTCGTCGTCTGGAAGGAAACGACCGTTCCCCGCAGGAACCCCCGTGGGCGCGTGCGACACAACGAAAGGAAATTCGCAGGGCTCAACAGCTTCTAATGATTGAGTTCGTTCCCAATTCCGGCATTGGTCGAAAAGAGCCCATGAGTTTGGGCATCGCGACATCTCCATTCTAGGTATTGCAGCTACGGGCCCGGCTTCCAGTCCTGCGAAAGAGAAGCGGACTCGGGGATCACCCGCATGATGCCATCAAACATCGTCAGCATCAGAAAGCCTATGCAGGTTTTGCCTACGAAGCCGCTGGGTAGGTCGGGAAGACCCCGTAATCACATCTTGCATGATTGGTGCAGATCGAGACCCATGTCATGGCGATCTCCATGGTCTTATGACAAGCCGCAGTCGTGTTCCCCAAGTCAATCTTACTGGTAGCAGGTAGCAGCCCTGCTGCCTATAGCCATGGTCGCATGCGAGGAAGGCATGCCACCTGCATTGGCCGCTGGTTGAGTGGAACTGTCGCATCTCCGCGCTGCTTGCTGCTACAGCTGCCAGGCTGCCGTGTTCCGGAAACGGGTGCAAAGCTCAGCCCACAAGGCCCGCACAGCTTTTATTGCAGCTGCCGACGTGCACGCCGTCGGTGTTGGTAAGCAGCCCAGGCGACTTGGTTGGCGTCACGGCTGGACGTGTCTCCGTGAGAAGGAACATGTGACTGGGGGTTACGAGCTAGGTGTCAGCCTGCCGCTCCCAGCTCGTTTTCGGCACTTACGCTAAACCGCTACACTTCGTGCAGCTGAATCGGCAGGACCAAGTGCCCCAGGCCGTGGCTGCTGCAGCAACCTCAATGAGTCAGCAGCTGAGGGCCCTCCTCATCACACTACATGAGCCACTTACTGAGGCACTGTAGGAGCAGCAACAGAAGGAAGAGATCATTGAGCTGTTGGGTCCGGGCCAAGGCACCATCAGATGAAGGTTCAAGACTGAGTCCCCTGCCTTTTCACGATGAACTCCTTAAGAAAATCAGATCATGGAAATTGTGCACAAGGACAGCGCCCGCTTTGAAAGTGAGTCCGTGGCATTAGCCAGGGTAGTTGACCCGGTGAAGAGAAGGATGGACAGCTGGCGTGTTCCTGTGGAAGTGTGCACTGTGCGAGATTCCCCCGCATGTGGCTCGCCGTTACTGCTTCCGGAACGCCGCGCCTAATTCAATCATATTCAATCTGATGCTTTTCTTTGCGGCTGGTTTCTGCATGAATGCCCCGGGCCCTGCCTCGCGTGCAGAGGAGTTCTGCGAAGACTAGAATTGGCACGACCCAAGGAATGTAGCCTGCTGGCAACAAAGTGTCCACAAGCAATTCAGCCTGAGAATTTCTTGAGATGCCGGCTGTATACCACAGCGATCCAGTCCATGACGGAGGCATCGTCAGGGAGAGTGACGTCACCGACGAGGCGCCTTCTAAGGGCAGGCTCGATGCCGCACTGGCTAGAGTTTGTGAGCACATCCCGTCCCGAAGGATATGCCTGCCGTAAGGGCAGCCCGCAAATCCTATCGTCGTGTTGTACCTGGGCCATTCGGAGAACTCCCCTAGAGGTCCTACAGATGCACGTGCTTCCATGCTTCCCCGACTTGCATGCTGCAAATCCTAGCTGAAAGCAGCGAACAAGCATACTCAGATGTGTACCACCAAGGAATGCAAGCTGCCGGCGACATCTTGCTCAAGGAAGGCTGTAAACCTTTAAGTGTTTTGGCGGTCTATATGTATATCTGTATTCATGTAACGGAATTAGATAAATCAAAAATTAGTTCTGTACTCTGTATATGTGAGAGAGCTGGCATGCTGCTGTATAGTCTTGTCTACAGCACGCGGAGTATGTTCGAGAGGTTCTCGTTCAGGATATCGGGGAAGCGTAGCCGAATGCACTGCCTTGTCTTACTGGACTCGTTGATTTACAGCAGTCTGGATTTGGGTTCGGCTTTGCTACTGATGCAATGTGTCCAGCTGCATGCTTTCGTAGCTGAACGCCGAGGCTGCATGCAGTCCATGCTGATACCGAAAGTCACTGTTTCCACATGCTCCGTGCGCCATGTCATGCCGTTCTCCACCGTCTCCGGGGATGCCTGAAGCCTTTCTGGGAGCTTCGGCTTCAACTTAGGAAGTGAGACAACTAAGAGGTCTTGCATCCAGAGGGCTAAAGTTTATGCCGATGGAGCTGAGCAGGTATGCGACAGCCGGAACCAATACCTAGCTACAAATATAAAGCAGGCAACCCATTGGAGGACTGATGAAGCAGACGAACACAGTTCATACACTAAAGTAAAGCAGTGTCGAGTCATTCGACGCCTCGACATTTTGCGTGTCTGCCCAGGTTGTCGAGGGTATCACCGCAGCGAATGCACGGGGCCCATCTCGCGAGCTAACCTCGGAAAGCATACAAGGCTAGAGACACAGCAAGGAGCCGTGACAGCAAGTCTGGACTTCAAGAGCAGCACGAGAAGTCTTGCGCACACAACGCACTGTGTCTGCACTTGTGGCTTAGAAAGCAGCGAACCCTAGAGGTGTACTAACGAGTGGCCTTCTGCCAGCTCTCTGGAGACTCTTCAGTGAACTGCAGGGACTCTTAACTGCACGAAAGATCCCGCAAGTCCGCAACACACCTTCATAATCATGTACTCCAGGCCCTCGACCCTAGAAACCTCGTCCTGTGCGTCGCGGTTTCAACAGAGATGATGCCAGCTCATGGCTGGCTCCTTGACCTACGTAAATGTGGCGAAGCGGTGCAGGGAACGAACAGCTGCACCAGGACACTGCCACCTAAAACTAAACAAGTTGTCATGCAAAAATTTGGGGGGCGTTCCCGGAATCCTGATCCATCTAACTGCTATCAAGCGACGTAACACGTTGGAACCCACCCACTTTGGAACAATCCAGAACGACCCCGTCTGATCATGTACGGGTGGCCGTTTCACAGCTGAACGCGGAGTAATTAGGCCAGCACAAACATGCCCTAGTTTTTAGATTGCTGCTGCCAACTTACCTTCAATGTGCGCGTCCCATTCTGAGCGGTGCGGTTCCCACTGTCAACAGACTGCTCTATCCAATCACAGAATGCGTGAAGGCAGCAAAACTGGATAACTGCAGGAGCGAATTACTGCTAGAAATCATGCTCGTCTTCAGCGTTTGCTTCTATCAATTCCAGTGCCATCAGCCGACCAGCGACGTCACCTGCACCAATCGAACAGACTCTGTTCCGGAGGAGGGTGGGGCATGAAGATGTCTCCCTCATATGTTTTCGAAGTGATAGTGGAAGCCTTGGCTGACAACCACGGCATGCTTTGCCACCACGTAATGCGCTGTCGCTGAGGACGACTGGGGCGTGTCTTAATCAGTCGATGCATGTTGCTACGGCTGCTACGGTACACCACGGGCCTGAAGCGGCCATGGCACCAACGACGCTGAAGCGGCAGTTCGGCGGAAGAACGAACTCTCCGCCTGCAAAATCGCGCGAGCAACCATTTCCCGGAACAGAAATGCGACTCATCTCCACCACACATGCACTTTAGTGGATGAAGATTCTTGCTGCCAGTCGCAAGGTTTAGATGTGAGGGCTTCGGGGTCTTGAAGGTCAGGTCACACATGACAAAGAAGCCGCCGAGGCAGCCGACAAGACGAAAAGAGCATTGATGTCTGACTATGTACTAAACTCGAACCGCCACTGAATTTACAGCCCCGAATATCTCAACTTAAACCCGGGAACCACCCACCCTGCTTGAACCACAAACATCGACGCCACATGCGACAGCCTAATTGACCCACAACTCCTGAACCTTAAATGCTGGCTGATCCCATTCCGGCCTTCCTCGCCACACGCCTCGCGTATCTCCTCGGCTCCCGATTCGAAGCTACTAATGCCGTGCGGGACTCCCTGCATGGTACTGCAATGCAATGATAGGCGGAACGAAAATTAATTGTGATTGGAAACAAGAGGTGACACTGGAATGGACAGTGCTGGTGCTAGTGATGGTGGTGCAGGTGGTATGTTGTAGTCAGCAGCAGCCGCATCAGCAGCATTTGTGTCAGGAGTCGTCGGCGTCGTAGGTAGTGGGAGTCAGGAGAAGCAGCAGTGGAATTTGGCGTAGAAAGAGTTTCTGGCAGCGGCAGCAGCAGCACCAGCAGCAGCGTTAGCAGCAGTCTAAATTTAGTTACCGCCGTAGTAGTAGCAGTAGTACAAGCAAGTAGCAGGAGAGTAGGAGGCGGAGCAAGGAATAGCATTAGCAGAAGTACGAGGAGTCCCAGAGCAGGAGTAGAGGCGACGAGCTATAGCCTCAATAGCCAAGATCGATTGTCAGCACGACACTACGCGAAGGTACACAGATAGAGTACATGAAAGCTGCTGCGCACGTCTACAGTTGCGCACAAGCGGTCATTCCACAAGCATCTGTGCAGTGTATGATCAAATCCTTCCCGCAAAAAGCCTGCATGCAAAAAGGGAAAACGGTCGGTGTGGCATCTGGTTGCCTTCTCAAGTCTTAGATGCCATGGCTCAGAGAGGTCGCTCGCCTTGGCCGTCAGCCGCACCAGGCCTCCTTCGGCGCCGGCCGCCCGGGAGGCGATGTCCGGGCTCGGAGTCCAGCTGCTAAAAGTTGGCAAGTAGACCTGAGCACAGGTCATGCACGGGGCACCAGGCGATAGAGAAGCAGTCGTGGGCATGCAAGACTGCGTAAAAGCAATATGATTGCAAAGTGGCAGGTGCCCGGCTACTGTCGTATCTACCTTTTCAGAGCATCATCGAGGCATCTGGGCGGGTGGATTCCGGGAGTTCACTGGCCATCACAAACGTCTCATGCCTGCCGGTCCCACGTTCCAACATGCATAAGCTCGGTCGGCTGACGTGATGCTACTTAAGCCTTTGATTACACTGTGAAGTCTTCTGTTCAATGAGCCCAGCTTGTCCTAGTTGCGGCACACGCAGACGCACCGCTCACAGTGCCACTTGAAGGTTTGAGCGACTAAGGCATCATGAGTTGAAAGCACTGCATTCCGAGCGCCGCGCCACATCTCCCTGTTGCAGATTGTGCTGCTGCAACAGATGTAGGGTTTCTGGCGTCAGGCCACCTCAGTTCAAAGTTTCAACAGCTAGCAACTTGCAGTCGCTGAACTGCTGGCACTAATCGTGAACTGGCACATTGCAACGTGCTGGCGAGGATCAGTAAAGTGTTTGGGGTTGCAGTGTTAAGCACTTCTCCAAAGCGTCGTTGAAGTAACGCAGGCAGGTGGACATCTCTTTGTCGATGCTGTCCGGCTGGCGTCGCACCACCCTCGACAGTCTTGAAGCAAAGTTCATGTCCCAGGAGAGACCTGAATCTTTCTTCCGCACGTCAAGGGCATATGCCACCAGCACAAACAGCTCACCGTCCGTCAACTTAGAAGGTGCCACCTTGCCGTGCTTGTCCTGCCAGGATTCCAAACACTTCAGAGAGAGTGGAGCGGCAAATTCAAACTGCGGCAGGCCAATGGCATCTACCGCATCTGCACTTTACGGCAAGGCGGGGGGTGAAGTGCTGGTGTGCCTTGATGGATATGGCTATCCTCTGGCAGTCCTCGGCTGAAACCGAAGGGTCATACACGAAACCACATGACATGTGCTTGTGGGGAGAGAAAGCTAGAAAGCACAGATAGGCAGAAGCCCCTGTGTACAGATGGTCCAAGGATCTTTGAGCAGCTTGTCCTTGAGCCTCTCCGAAAGCCACTGCTGCACGGTCTTGTCAAAGCTGGTTGAGCACTTGCCATCCGGATCTGACCAATCTGGGAGCACCCTGAATCCAAAGGCCCCAACATCTTCCGCCGGAAGCAGAAAACGCTCCAGCCGTTGCCGATCATCAATGACCTGCCACTCAGATACCATGCTGGGAAGGCTCGGAGTGCAGCTGCGTGCATCGTCGTCTGTCTGAATGTCCAACTTTGTGGAGCCAGAGGTCATGTCGAAAACCTGCGCTCTCAAGCCAGGGGCTTGATCAGCTGTGCCTTCGGCACGAGTCGATTCTGGGTCGTGGCGGCCAGAGTGATGTTCCTCAGATGGATGCGTGGGAGGACCACTTCCCACGTGTTGTGAAGGGAGCGCGTCAATGCCCTCGATCGTCGGCGAGCGGTAGCTCTCGTTCACAAGGGCAGGCTGCAGAACCGGGCTTGTTCCGCTTGCCCCTTCTACCTTCGCTCGGGCCTCATCCGCCTCATCACCAGGAATAGCCTGACCAGCAATGGGAGCAGCGGTTACTGCATGTTCCAAAGCACCCTAACTAGCTAAGCTAAATGTCAGCTGTCAGATCCACCGAACGCTTGTTGCATATGTCCAACTTCCTGGTGAGCCACCTCCTGCCCCTGGCAGGCCTCTGGCAGGATATCGGAGTCCTCCTCACACTCCCTGGCACGAGCTGTGTGAGACTGGACCCGTCGCCGCGATGAGCGGCGCCACGACATCTGGATCAGCAAGGCCGCGGTGTTGAGACGCGAGTCTGGCTGAGAGTCGCCTGGGGCACCGAACTTGCAGCCAGGGTCAGGGCCACTGATTAGGAGCCACACAATTGACAACGCGATGCTGGTATATACACCTCATAGATCATATCAATCACGAACCGAGTGCTGCATCATGCTAGAGATGCATCATCGTGAACGGCATGCGTTCGTGCACAAGTTGTATGGACATACACACATACAAGCTTTCACATGATTCACATGCCTTGCAGGCTTACCAGGCATGGCTTCGTACAACATGCATAAGCGCTGCATAGTGTATGCATGTGTATACGGTAAACACACATATCTAGAGATGTGCATTAAATCAACTTCCCTTGCATATCTCTGCACCCGTTTGGAGCTCCGCACCGGCCTGGTTCATGCGTTGAGAGCACCCGGAAATATCGACCTGGGGAGTTGTCAAAATTATAATCACTTTTGGAGTACCCTTAACACTAGGTGCCGTGTGAACTATATATTAAGGACCCCAACATCAGCATAAATATATCAATAATACCAATCATAACAGTAGTAATCGTAATGATAGTAAGGTACCCCCTAATTTTCGGAAACTCCTAATTTTCGGAAACTCCCGGACCTCGATGCTTTAAGATAACGCTTTGGCCCTGCACGCTCGAGGCCTCGGCTTCCCTGGGAACTTGCAGGACCGAAGGCATCTCCTCTGAGCACTGTTTTAGGGTTTAAGGTTTATAGGGTTTTAAGGGGTTTAGGGTTTTTAATAGGGTTTATAATAGGGTTTATAATAGGGCTTTAGGGGTTTAGGGTTAGGGTTCACACATCGGAAAAAGACACTTGGATGGATAGATGATAGACAGGTAGATGGTTAAATTGATCGACAGCTATGTACCGCCTGCGCACCCCCGAGGATGTCCTCTCCGAGTGCTGCCTTGACCGCTTGCTCCAGCTCTGTGCTGCAGACCTTTCCCAAGCTCTCCATGAAGCGCTGCCAAACTCTCTGCAGAGCGCACTCGCCTTGGTCTGCTTTGATGAGCAGTTTCATGGATTGAGCCGTTCGAGTTGAGTCGCACGCAGCAGTCAAGATATGTCAAAATGAAGCCTACTGTTAACCAAGTCACCCGAAAGGCCCAGGCGTTCGGCAGTGACCTTCCACAGCTCTTTGCTGACTGCTTCGGGGTCGATGGACTCCTCCACAAGCCGTATGGTCCGAATCCCGTCATGGACTTTCAAAACATGTGAGCATACCGTCCTAAGGAGGTCTGAGATACGGGATTCCCCTCCGGTCCTCGCAGTTCAACAAGGACGCCAATGGGACGAGTTTGACGGCCGACAGGGATCTCTGCCAAGCCGTGCTCGTGTCAGGCTCACAGGCTGCAAGCTGAGCCTCGTACCTCCGCTTGCAGAGGCAGAGGCTGGGTTTTAGGTCGAAGGCGCCTTAAGTATTGAAAAGCGTCACAGGGACATGCAACCCGGTCGCAAATCTAGGAATCTGTTCAAGCATTCCTCCTGCTTGGCATCACCTCAGATGGCGGGTGCAGGTGAGTAGATGGCAGGGCCAAGCATGCACCCAGATCTGTCGATATCCCATGCTTCATGACTGGCTACTACCAAGACGAGCCGCTGCCTTGAATGTTTCTTCCTTCCTGAATCGAATCCACATGGAATCCACACCTCTGCAAAACCTGGCTGATCGAAGTGTTGGCGATGAAGCGTTTCACGTGGTCAGGGACATCAAGACTTGCTTGACATGCCCACCACATGAAGCCGCTCACATCGACATCGACACTCGTGAGAATGAGCGGGAGCGTCGATGCATCCGAGGGTGCCTTGTCTGGGCGGGCATCCCACCAAGCCTCCTTCTCGTCCATGTCATGCCGAGATGGCTCTGTCTTTGCTTGCTCCATCTGCTCCATGACCCAACCCGGTAAGGGCTTCAAGCCGTCTCTTGGGTTCCACACAGTACCTCGATCAAGCCCTGCTTTTCTAGCACGTACCTCTCGAAGCATGAAGCGAAGTGCCTGCAGCACCGCAACCAGGTGCCGACCATGAATTTGGTCTGGAAGCCCGTGGAGAGGATTGCTATAAGGCACGTCAGACAGCTGGACCTGGGCATACAATGTTCGGAGAGGCGTAGTTTCTTGACTGATCACGTGGTTCACAAAGCCCTCCTCCTCCAAGTCCGTGATCGTGTCTCGAAGAACTTCATCTCTCTTTGCAAGCTCTGCGGTGCTCTGCAGCGATCCTGGACGCGCCCATCCCCTGCAGAGGGCTGTTTGTAAGTCGATCGGGGACGGCTCCTTCAGAACCGAAGAAAAGCAGCTGAACTCGCTGTTCTCTTCTTTCAGAAGCTGCAAGAGTTGCGGAAGCGCTGCGATCGGAATTCCGTCGAGGATGTCCAGCGCAGCCGGCAGGTGTGAGACCTGTGCGAGAACCTCGTCCAGCTCTAGGACTGAACCGGCCTCCGGCGCGCTTGGAGCACCTGAGTTCCAGCACACTCCCACCGCAAAGTCACACCTAAATTCGAACCTCGCAAGTCAGCCAACCATTTCGGGCAGGGAGCTGAGCTGCGAAAGTATTCGAGAAACGGCTTCCCTGCAGTTCTGGAGCTCAATGAGTTGCATGCGAGCCAGCTTGTCCAAGACCTCCTCTCTCTTGGCATCACTGAGAACTGTACAGCTCTCTGGTGCTTCTGGCTTTGCCTGCTTCGTCTTGAACTCTGGCAGTTGTGGGAAGTCGAGCTTCTGAATGCGATGAATCCAGGAAGCACTGAGGATCTCCAACTGGGCTGCTTGCCAATCAATCCTGGCTGAATTGAATGTGACACGGACAGCATGGAAGAAGAAACATCGAAGCTCAGTTTCCCGGGGCCTTGGCGCCAAGACCCCGGCAGCGCGAAGGTTGCGCCGCACGGCCCGTTCCACGGCTTGGCTGGTGAGGGCGTCCACCAGTTGCTCCTGGAAGCGGCCAGCGGCACAAGTTTCGGCGGGCTGGAGACAGGCAAAGACGAACTTCGACAGCCATGGATTCAAACTGAAACCAAGAACCATATCGAACCTGAACAGTGGCGGTGTCTTCTGAACCCGTCCTGGAAAAAGAGGTCGGCCAACCACACCGGTGCAGCTCTGCCCATCTGGTCGGCCCAGTTGATGGCATGTCCCTTCTGCATGTGGCTCAGGGCCTTGATGGCTGCATCGACCACCTCATTCCAGATCCGGCACAAGTACTCCGCCACCAGTTGTGGCTGGCCCTTGGCATCTCCCTCGCTGAGGAAGAACCTCAATGGCAACTCCTTCCCATCGCCCTGGATGGGTGCCAGCCGTGTTTGCTCGGCCTCTAAGCCTATAGCTGCACGACCTGCTTGGCATTCAATGGGAATCTGACCATGGTTGTCCTCATGAAACTTCTTCCAACCACGCACGAAGCTCTCGAAAGACTGGCGGATGACTTGGCAGTGCCGAGCATTGCTGCGGGAGTCCATTCTGTCATCCGTTTGTTGACGCAGCTGCAGCAATTCGAGCAAAGGCTGATCCTGAGTTGGAGACAGAGACTCCGAGACGCTTGCCTGCAATTGCAACACATGCCTTGCCGATGCTGCTTGCTCAAGTCTTGCAAGAACATGCAACAACTGAGCCGGAGTCCAAGCACTTGGCGGGCACGACGCCATTCAGGCGATCGAAGATCCAGTTCTGGATTTGCACGAAATGGCCGAGCAAAGGCAGATGAGCCAGCTCTTCACGACGGTTCACTATGGCAGCCACGAAGGCAAATGCCGGCTCCCAGGGCAATGCCAAAGCACAGGCTTGGAAGGAGTGGAAGAATTTGTGCATATAGCTTAGGGATGCTCGGAAGTCCTGCAACCGTACCAGCTGACCTTGTGCCTTCGAGACCCTGAGTGCTTCATGCTTCAGATCTGGAAGTGCCACGACAACCTCATCGATCATGGTTCGCCAGATGTCCTCGTAGGCTTGTCGAGCTTCAGGAGAAGCAAAGATGCGGCTGAACTCCGGTGGCCCTGCGACTGCTCTCGTGCGGAAGTCGTGGAAGAGGCGTGCAAACGCCAAAGAGCGATCCTCTTCTGTCAGCTCCTGCCGCGAGCACACACACTCGAAGCAGCGCATGGCATAGTTCATTGCGAAGCTTCGGACCATGTCTGCACGGGAGTCGTCTCCCCTGACTCTGGGGTCCACCTCTTGAACATATCGGTTGGTCAGAACCTCATCGATGCTGCGGCAACTTTCGGGGAAAACAGCCAGGCCGACAGAAAGCATGGCCCAGCTGCAGAAGTGAAGTTCACCCAATGCAGGTGGTCGTTCCGCAACGGCGGTCGATTTCGGATGGCATGCCCATGGTCGTCAAGCACGCATCCGCAGTCGAAGTGATAGCCCTCTGGACCCGGGCAGAGGCCGTAAACAAACCCGACGGGATAGCTGTTCAGCATCGCCCGCGGATCGAGCAAGAACATCATCAAATGGTTGTTGTCAGGCGTGCCTACCACGGCCACCAGCAAATTCACAACCGCATGCTTCAGCCGCTGTGCCCGATTCGCACCATCCCCTGCCGCGGCCATGTCCCAGTCGTCCCGTCCTTCCCAAACTTCCAGCACAGGCCATCTACTGTTGTGCAATCGAATCCCCTCAAAACACGAAGAACATTGGACGTCGTGCGAGCAGTAGCCCTAGCCCTTGCTGTCCTAACAGCACCGCGGCCACAAGACTCCGTGAAGCCTGCAACGGAGTGGTGTCGCACAGCATGGCAACGACTGTTGCCTCGGTTGTCGGCCGAGAGCAGAGCAGCCAAACGCTGCAAGTTAAGGCTTATATGGCCATGGAATTAGGGGGTTTTGGGTTTAGGGATTAGGGTCTAGGATGTTTTCGAATGCTTGCCAGGCTGCCAGCTTCCTGTCCTCCAGGCCCAGAGATGCACGGAGCGGGCCCGAGTTCTCTGACAGCAAGGCCTGTGCCACAGCCGGCTGTGTGTGGTCCCGCTTTAGGAAGGCACACGCACAGGCGTTGGCAAAGGCATAGCGACGGTCTTCCTGCGAGAGGCCTTCCAAGGCAGTCTCTGCACCCTGCGCCGCCTGCAGGGAGCCCCGCAATCGGCTTCTAAAAACCATGATTGTCGTTATTCTTATCGTAGTAATAATTAGTAATACAAGTAATATCATCTTAGATTGATATAGCTTCAGAGCAGGCCTGGTCCGAGGAGAAGTCCTGATCTCGGAGCACCCACTCCAAGATTGCCGAGTAACCCGGGGGCTGCCTCACCTCCGCAAGATTTGGCTGGTACGGGCGAGCCTGATTCCAGTGAAACTCGAAGCCACAGCCATGGCCATGAGTGAGATGCTGGTGCGCATGGGCACCACAGGTCATCTGCTCGCATCCCGCATTCTTCTCAATCGGATTGCCACATCGGGGACAACATCTCACATTATAGCCCCGAGCTGTTTCTTGAGTAGCTCGCTCCTCGTGCTGCTGAACTCGCTGCCGCCGAGCTCGTTCTCCTTCAAAGCCTGGGCCCAGCGAAGGCTCAAAGGCATGTGCAACCACGCTTGTAGCTGAATAGCCCGACTTGGAGCATTGCGGGCATTGCACTGCACTCTTCCCCTATGACTCCGACACTAAGGCCCGAGCCAGGCATGCCGGCTGCCGGCAGATCTTCCCATGGATCCTCGCCGGGTCCTCCACTTTGCATCTTTCAAAAAGGCGGCCGGGCCTACGCGACTCGTCTGAAGAATCAACCAACGTTACATGCAAAGGCCGGCCTCCCGCGGCACTTTCTGGCTTGGCAAGGGCTCCAGCCCATGCACGAAGCAGACTGCCTTCAGCAGCGCCGCCCTGCATCTGCAAAAGCGTCTCCAGGGCCCTGCCTGCAGTTGCCATGGAGCCTGCATGTGCGACCAGCGAATGGAAGAAGAGCAGGCTTGCCGGATCTGGATCCTCTGCGCCGCCTGCCGCTGAACCGCCCAGAACTTCATGCAGCAACCTCGCGTCCGAAGCTGTGGCAATTTGTCTGCGAGCGACTCTGTCAGCGACTGCTTCTATGAGCAGGTGATGGCGTGCGGCCCGTCGGACCCAAGCGAACATGTTGCCCTCTTGGTGTTGCTTTTGCCTCTCCCTCTGCAGCTCTTCCAAGGCATTCACCTTGTCAAGTTCCAGGAGCTTACGGCCCACCTCGGTGCGGAAAGCCGAGTAAAGCAGGAAGGGCAGCGAGCTCGTCGAGTCGCCTTCAGCCGGGCCCGTCCACTCGAGCCAAAACGTCAGTGGCTGAGTGGTGCACGGATGGCCCAGATCCACTCTCCGAGAGAACTCTCGACTCAGCAGTTGCAACATCTCGGCCTTCTTGCTCGGGTGTGCGTCGATGGCTTCAAGTACTTGCTGAATGGCAGATGCAGCCAACGCAGGGGTGATGAGCGCATAACACCTAGCAAAGATGCCCCGGCTATCGGCGATGTCCAAGGTCAGGTCAAGGCAGTCTTGAAAGAGATTCACCACTTGGCCTTGGCTTTGGGACCGTCGGATTGGCCAGAACATACCATCCAGGACTTGCTGAAGAGCAAACCTCGCACTCTCCAAGTCGAGCTGGTCCGCACCACACAGCTGCTCAGCCAGGATAGCCAGGCATTTTCGACGGAGGGCTCTTTCTTCGCCCCCAGCTGACAGGAGTCTCTGCAACAGATCCAAGCCCTGACTGTCCATGAAGCAGGGGACAAGGTTGCCGAAGAAAGCCAAATGATTTAGCCTCAGCTGCAAATGGCTCTTGACAAACATCACAGCCGCTCGAAGACTGGTTGTACATCACAATGCTGCAGAATGGCTTTCCCATCTGGGTCACCGAGAGCTTCAGCCGCCCACTCAGCGTGGCACGGGCCATCTCGAAGGAGTGGTGCCACTTGTCCAGGCGCTCTCGGCGCTGGGAAGCAGTGGACAAGGCCACTTGAAGCTGCTTCCTCAGATCATGGCAAGCACTTCAAGTGGCTCCCTGTCTTATTCTTGAAAGACTGCTCTGCGAACTGCAGGCCAAGTGTCTCCAAGATGTCCAGGACAGTTGTCGCCAATCCAGGCCCGAAGAAGACCTACGAACATTGTCGCACCAACATCTGGAGCTGAAGTAGGCAGAAGTAAAGCCTACCGCTGCGTGCCTGCGCGCCAGTGCCAGTGCTCTGCTGTCTGCGCAACTGCTCCTGCACCTCCTGGGGGACTCCATCCTGGAAGAGGAAGCTCAAGGCACCCAAGTCTGAGCGGTGGCACCTAAGGCAAAGGCAAACGCAAAGGCTCCGGGGCTATGGAACCAGAAGGACTGACACGAATGTTTCGGAGCACGATTTAGTTTTCGGACGCATCCACTCCAAAACCAAAGGTCTCTGCAGCTGTTGCCGCCAAGATGCCAAGCGCAGGCGTGAAGGCCTGATGCCCAGTGGTACAAACTCAACAAACTGGCATGTCATGTGATGCCCTGACCCAAACATCAGAATGCGGCCATTTGTTCAGAGTGTATCAACATAAAACCTGGTGAGCGAGCGAGATCCCTATAGAACTGTGCTGTTCTATGACATGCTTCTGCGTCGGAAATCGCCTTTCCCCGTGAAGGCGTTGACTCGCTGCAATATTGTTCCAATCTCACCCAGCAACGGCCTGAATCAATCAAACCCTCATCCGTCGTAACAACGAATCCGCCGAGGCCACAGGCCCAGGCGTCTTGGGGGTTACCTCAGTTACCCTCCACCTAATCCTCCTCCCTGCAGTCCAAATGCTTGGAGACACCCCTTTTTTGCGTTCGTTTGCCCCCTTGTCCGGCTTCCCTTCATTTTACCTGAGGCCGCCCCTCCCAGACCCCCTCCCCCCCCGTCCCTCCCCCTTTCCCCGCTCCCCCCCTCCTTCCACCCTCCCCGTGCCCGGAACGCACAATCGACACTCACCCGTTTCGAGGTTGGGGTTGAGAGGCCCGCCTAGCATGCTGTATACAACATCCACTGCCGCCTCGCCCGCTACAGAGCCGAGGCGGGCGGCGCAGCGTTAAAATTACCAATGAAGCCACTTCTCGGTTCCATCTCATCTCATCTCGCACGATGTTCGAGAGAGGCAAGTAACAGTAACCACCAGTCCTGGATACCAAACTATGGACACAGGGACGTCGCCTGGGAGCTGTGCTGCAGCGTTGTAGGGTTCAGCCCAAGCCCGGAGCAGCGTCGCCGCCACGTGGCCGAAGCCGAAGCGCGCGGCCACGTAGCCGGAATAGGCCGGTAGAAGGCCTCTGAAGCACAGCCGGAGCTGTTTGTGACTTGTCAGAAAATGCCCCACCTGTAGAATGTGGAAGTGACGTGACGGCCAAATCCGAAGAAGCTTCCAGCAACTGTTGAGATTGAGGCCCTTCCCCCTGCACGACGCATGCCACTGGCCCTGCCTGAGTTTGCGATCAGCTCGGCAAGTTGGGAGTAAGGATGTTTGCTCCACGCCGATGTCGTGAGTGCCACCAGGTCCTGCTCCTCGCAATCCTCGAAGAAACCTTCTGCAGACGTCTCGTCGTGACGAGAGCTGCTGCGGCTGTCCAGCAGGCACCTCGAAGGAAAGGACTTCTCTAAGGCTATGCGGAAGTTTGTAGGTTTAGTGCTGGCGCACGTGGGCAGCCAAGTTGCTCCTGCAGCTTTCGGAAGAGGAGTGGGAAGCACGGCAGCATCTGGTCATGCGGAGCTGGCATCAGCGCTGTATCCGGCACGCCGTAGCCCTCCGCTGCCTAAGCTGGGAATCGAAGTTTCTTCCCCAAGGAGCCCCAGTCTAAAAACCCAGGTTCTGCAACTGCCGAGGTGCGCGGAGCTTCACGTAGCGGGCCATGGCTAAAGGTGCCTCGCCTGGGCCACCGAGCTGCAAGCTCAGCAGGCCACCTGGGAAGGCGCGGGAGTCGCGGGAGCGAAAGACTTACGGAAAATAGTGATGAAATGGACCAAGAAAGTCAGTCCATGCCTTGATCACAGATCCAGTGGAGGGCCGCAGTCAACGCGGAAATGACCCTCTCAGCGCACTTGTTTCCTGCAAGCCAGGCAGAGAGCTCGCAGACTCGCAGAGCCGTCTCTCTGGCTGCAGCCCAGCTTCGGACGGTGGTCTGCAAGCAAAGCATTGGCCGCCTGGCAGAGCAAACGGGGCCAGGCTATGTGCGAAGCTCCGCCACCAACACGACCGTTTTGCTCGACTTCGCTACAGACATGGCAGGCCCGACCTCTGCCGCACATCCATCTCCATGATCTCCATAGCAGCTGCAATCGCTTCCTTCCAAAGGCAAGTTAGAACAGGGACTGAAAATCAGCCGCTTCCCGTCGAAAGTTTTTGGGGCCCACACCTGGCGAAGCGACACATCCTTCAGGGCCGCGGAACGAATCCTCTGCAACTCCTCTAGCAGGAAGACAGCGCTTGGCTCCTTGCGTGAGCGAATGCTCGCAGGGTCGAAGAAGGCACTGTGGCGGCATGTGCGCATCTCTGGGCATGTGCTTCTGCCAAGCCACTGAGAGCAGCTGCCAAAGCAGGTCCACCCGTGTTTGCAAAGTGGCTCCGGAGTAGAAGCCCTTGGCCTCATGCATCCAGGCTTCCGCCGCCTTCCGCATTCCTTCGGACACCGACAATCGGGCAACGGATGCCCAAAGGTCCTTCTGCAGCTCGTCTTCGCTCACCACATGATCTTCCGTGTCTGGAGGGCTGGGTGATAGAATCGATGCAACCAGCGCCGGAGATTCCGCATCGTCCAGACAGTCCAAATGAAAGATCTGCCAATTACCAAGGAAAGCAGCTTCGTAGCATCGACTTTCATGCAGGGTTTTAGGAGGCAAAAGGAGTGTCACGGCGAGGCGATGTACATCGTGCTCGTCTGCCAGGCGGCGCAGCTGATGCACGGCCCGCGATGTGCACTGGACGTCGGCTCCCTTTGACAAGCTGCTGGACAATCGGCAGACTACCATGAGCGGTTTCTGCATCCGTTTCCTTGCACGTAGCAGTTCGATGGTCTCCTGCCTGGTCCGCGGCATAAGGTGGACGTCCACATCATCCCGTCTGATCTGCGTGGTAGGGCACTCGCCGGAAGCAAGGAGCACGTCACGAGTAAGGATCAAGTAGTGCGTCTGGGGAGAAGATTTGAGCTCCGCAATCACTGAGGCCAGGCCTGTGTGGGGTTTCTGCACATAGCCTGTCCACAAACAGGGCAGAACCCATCTCTTCGAGGTGCAGCCCCTCGTGCAAACGTGCGGCAAGAGAAAACCCTGCCTGTGGTAAGGTTATCCGGCAAGGACTTCCGATGGCTCAACACAGTCTCGGAGGGCGCCAGCTGGAGCAAGTGGCCCGCTGCCTCCTCTGCGAGGGTGGCCACGGCGTCCTGGAGGCGATCGTCCAATCGTTTTCCTGGGCTGCATGTGCAAGCGCGCGGCCAGTGATGGAATCACTGAGTGCGCGCGTGAGTGCGTGCATGAGCGGGGAGTGGAGTAGTGAGTGAGAGTAAGGGCGGGCGTGGGTGGGTGGGGTGAGTCTCTGCAGGACACGATGGACACAATCCAAGCCGCGAAGTTGCGGTTTGCCCAGCATGTCTGCGGGCAAAGTTCCCTTGTAGCCCGCCAGCCTCAGGGCAAAGGCCCCGGCAAACTCCCCCCCTCGCTGCAGTGACCTGCAACTACAACATCAAGACTTTTGGACCACTAGAGGATGCCACAAGTTCGAGGTATTCACCCATCCGGCCTGTAGACCAGAAGATAAGCCTTGCCAGCCTGGTGCCTGGCAGCAGCAGCGCTTAGCTGATAGCACCGATCGTTGTCCACGGCCTCCCAGCCATTTCTGGCTTTGAAGTACGCAATGTAATGCCCGTTGTCCAAACTGCCGGTATGAACGATGAAAGACACAAGGTCGTACAGCCAGTGTTCCATGTGAGACAGCAGCAGGGAGTCCTGTGATGGAGGCAACAAAGGCAATGTCAGGCCCTCCATGGGCACAGTAAGGATACCGTCGTTCTTCTGCATCCTTTCCGCATCCCAGCGCCCGAAGCAGAACGGTAAGATGCGCGGCGGAAGCTGACCGGGCAAGCGTCGCCTGGCCCGGACAGCGGTTGGCAGCTCAAGTTCCTTCATGCTGCCTTCTTCCCCCAACTCGACTTTGCAAGCTGTGACACTCTCCATGACAATATCTTGCAGCAAATCAGCGAAGTCCTTGTCAGAACCCATAGCTGTTCGCAAAATGTACTCGTTCAGATCGTTGGACACGTAGACCTTTCTGGAAGGATCGTCCAGGCCGAGGCAATCCGCCTCCCTGGCACACGTCATGGTGGGCAGGGCCAGCTTGGGGCTCTGGCACTTGTCCAAGAGCGCCTCGAACATCTCCGCGGCATCGTCCTGTTCCCCTGGTTGCATGATCCCCTCACGCTCGAGTTTTTGTGCCAAGGACCAGATGTCCTCTCGCGGCACTTGCTGTCGCCTCGACTTCTTCAGGATGTGCCGCAGGTCGCTGAGGAAGAAGGGCTCCGCCTCACGCTCCTCCGGGAGCAGATGTGCCTCGTGCATGCAGAGGATTACGAGGCACGCTTGCAGAAAGCAGGTGTTCCCCGGATTCTCGTGCCCTTTACAAGCTGCCGGATCGGATGGTTCGGTCTGGATGGCCTTCACCTTGAGGTCTCCGGGCCACTCCTCAGAAAGGGGCTTCTCGGTCTTCGACTCTTCGGCCAGGCCCTCCTCCCAGCCAGCAGTCAGCAGCTGTAGGGCCGTCTGGCATCGGCTCGCCTGCATGGCTTCGTTGATGGCGGAGTCCATGGTGGTCGCATCGAAACCGATGAGACTCGCCGGGCCGAGCAGCTGAACCAAGGCCTGAAGCCGCTGGCGTACAGGCTGCAGCAAGTAATCGCGAATGAACTGCAGGTTGAGTTGATGATGGCATCGGATGTCGGCGTTGTGCATGGCCAAATCTGCTGGGCCCAAGTAGAACTTCTCAAAGCGATTCAGAAAGGGCAGCGGGGTCTGCGCAAGATCTGAGGCCCTGATGCAAACTACGAGCTGGAAGCGTGGATCCACGGGTGCCAGGACCGAGTAGCTTCCAGCGGCCACCGTCGCTGCGAAGCTCACGCGGCCATTCGCTTGGATGCGCTGGAAGCGGAGATTCAGAAGATCATAGAACCCATCCAGGATCTCGTCGAAGTCCACCATCACGCACAGGCCCGGGTGTTCCGCAGCCCTGCGAATTTCGCTCACAATTTGGCTGCGATGCAAATCGCTCTGGTCACCCGGCAAGTTGCTCACCTCCAGAACTTTGACCTGCGGTGGCAGAAGCCCAGCCAACTGCAGAATGCGCACGGCTCCACCATCCTCCGTCTCATCGATGATCAACTTGTAGCGGCAGGGCTCGTAGTTCGCATCCTGCAAGTCTGCTTCCGGGATGTCGAGCAGGGCCTCCTGCAAGACGGCCAAGGTGGACCTGAGCCCGGCTTCCTGCAGCTCTGAGATCCGCCCCCCGGTCTCTTCTCGGAGATGTCCAAAGAAGACCTTGCACAAGGCCACGAAGTCCTCTTTCTTCAATCCTCCAAAATTCCTCTCCAGAGCAGACAGCACACTCGATGCTGACACAGAGCCGTTCCGAACGAGACCACCGCGGCGTAGATAGCGCAGGCAGTGGTGGAAGTCTCGCAGATGGAAGATTCCAAAGGCAGTTTTGCTCTTCGTCCACCGACCGGCGGAGATTTCCTGGAAGGCCTCATTTGGATGACATTGCATGGACTGCTGTGATGTGCCTACAGCTTCGTAGCATATCGGACAGGATCGTAGACAATAGAGCTCTGAACGACCCCGCCTTGCAGAAGCCATTCACCAAATTCCGCGAGGCAGGGTCCTCGCGACTGACCCCCAAGCATTCGGCCGCCAGAAGCCGCAAATCCTCACCATCGGCTTCATCACGGAATACCTGCTGCAAACACAGTCACAACTGGTCCGTGCCACCGATGGGTCTTACGACAGATGCGGGAACCGAAGAACTGCTGAGCCTGAAGGCATCGGTTACGCTTTGCAGCGTCCAGTGGCTTGTTGGCCAGAATGCAGCAGGCAACGGCTCCTGAGCGAGGGCTTGTAGAACAATTTGAGCTGCATGCGGATTTACAGCAAGCCATGAAGTCGTGGACTTTCGCTGAAGAGCATTGCAGCATGGCTCCTTGATCGATCCAGTAATGTATGGCTTTGAGGCTCTCGACTTTCTCTTCCGGCAAGCCGGCCTCTCTGCCACGCACCAGAAGTCACCCGAATATTCCGCTTCGAAGCTACTGCTATTTCGGGTAGTGCTTCCTAGTAGTGCCTACTGTAAGGTATCTGCTTGGCCTCATCAACGAACACCACCGGGCGTCGTTCGCTCTCCTGCAGCGAACGCACTGGAACATCAGACATGTCCACGTGATTGCTGGCATGCAAGATGGGGCAAGAGGTCGTCCTCCGCTTCTATGCGTTGCTTGGCCCTCACTGCACTTTCGAACACCTGCAGCATCTTTATTTACTGCACGACGGTCAGTCGCTACGATGCTCAACTTGCTTCAGAATCGGCAGCTATTGCGATATGCCAGCTTGCACGACTAACCCCCCACCATTCGGCCTCATGAATCTGAGTGCTTGTGCTGTCTTTGGAGCATTGGTAGCGAAAGACGGAGTTTGCCACGTCACAGAAACAGCGGAAGAAGGGCACGGCACCCGAGCCCCTCAACACGTCCGTGGCGATGTTCACGGCAAGCGTCTTGCCCGTTCCTGGCATGCCCACGATCATCACTGGGATGTTGCACTCGATGCCCACAATCACAGCGAAGATGTTTTCCTTCAAAGCACGAGTCAGCGCAATACCTGCTGGGAGTTGGATGTGCTTCATGTAGGTGTCCATCTCTTCGGCGAGGACTGTGGGGAGATCAAGACTGTGACAAGTCTCCTCCGCAAAGATTTCGGCATAGTGCGGCGCTGTCACCCTCTCCGTGAAGAGCTCCCGCTGCGAACTGTTGAGCCCCAGGTAGAAAGATACGCCCAGGGCCAGAAGCAGAGCACGCGCCGCACAGCAGCGTTCGTTCGCTTCCGGCTGGGCGAAGCTATGCTGCCGGAAGAAGCCGAGCAAGCGCACCACACGAATGATGTCGCGCTGTGACACTGCCGATTCTGACCCCAACTCTGCCCTCATGAAGTTCTGAGCTGCAGCAATGGTCCGTGCGAATCGATACAGATCTGGATCCTTGGTAGACGATCAGAACTTAAAACAGTCATCAGGTCTTGGAACCCTGCAAACTGTGCGACTTGCTTGGTTTTCTAACAGCTCCTGCTGCCTGCTCGTGCTACACCCTCAAGGCTTCAGATCGTCTGCTTGCCAAAATTGATGCAAGGATTCTCTGCAAACTCATTACGATCTGCGAACAAGTACCTGCTTCCTCCAAGGTTCGTCTTCTGCAATGGTGGCTCGGCGACGAAGCAGAAGCAGCGCGTATCTTTCCTCGTCATCTGCACTGGGTGACTTCCAATTCCAGATGTATGGTCGGAAGGAGGGCGGCAAAGGATGCACCTGTCACACCCAGAATCTTGCTCCAAACACAGCTTGAATGCACAACTGACACGTACAGACACCGTTCGGGAGAGCACATCTCTTGCACTGGCACCTGGAAGAAGTCGCGCATGACCGTACTGCTCCCTCGTAGGACTAAATCTTCGTTGCTGGCTTCTTCTCGATAGGGGTTCGAAGCCGCGATGATGAAGAGGTTCTCGAAGTCTGCCACTAGGAACTTGTCGCACAGGATCGCCTTCACGAAGCCCAAGCACGACCTTGAATTGTATCTGACTCCGCGACTCGAATCTGCTCGCATGGCCTCAAGTCCTGGCACTTATCTGCTGTCCAAGGCACGCTGTGTTCACCTCATCCAAGAAGATGATCACAGTCATGTCTGGCTCACGCCTGCATGCAGCAAATGCCGGCCGCAGCTGAGCCTGGCAGTGCAGCGAATTTGGAAGAACGACTTGATCGCTGCTGTATGCGCTCGCCTCGATGTCCTTTGCCGTCAATGCGGCATGGACCTCCATGGCACTCACAAGGGCATCTGAAGCTCTTGCAGACGAACGTGGCACAGTTGTCATGACATCTATGGACCCATGCCCAGAAAGCTGGCACATGGGCTACTTCTGCTTGGTGCCTTCATCTAACCTCTGCAAGGCAATTAACCTGGCGTTCGATCTGTGAGATTGTCAAGGAGACGTCTCCGTAGAGAAGCTCTGTGCTCAGAGACTCCCAACTCCATACTCGTAACCTCAATCGCACCTGCACCCGGAAGAAAACTGGCTCGACTGGCAGGAGGGTCACCGCGCGCAGGGCGAAAAGCAGGCCTGGGTATGAAATCAATGAATGCTTGGACCTGCAACCTAACCTTGAACCCCTGGCCTGGGTGCCGTTTTCTTATCACGCGGTGCGACCTGCGCTTATTTGCATCTTAACTGTATTGTTTTGCAGTTATGCAACTAGCAACTACGGTGACGTCGTCCACAAAAGTACTGAGTATTGTGCCGCTCTACCGCCAGACTGCTGTACTGAGATAACTTCCATGGTCATGGTGCTCCGATACTGCTGGATCCGCATATCAGCAATTAGAAAAACCTTAGCGCTTAGGAACGGTTGGACGTTTCATGCTGCAGGTCCAAGGTTCCAGGCTCCCTGGGGGCTAACCAGAAATTGGTGCACTCTGACACGTGCAGACCTACACATGGCCAACAGTTGGCCAACGAGCTTCGATTCCCCGGAACACAGATCTCCTCCTGACAGGACGTAGGACCACTGCGCCCTACGGTGTGACCAAAAGCAAACCTCCTCCCCCTTCTCGAATGAATTGGCTCACAATCGCTTGGTTAATTAACGGATGCTTCAAGTAAGTCGAAAACAGCCCACTGCAACTGAGGTTTTGAGTAGTGAAAACCAGCCCCAAAAGCGAGCCCCACTTTGGAACCTACTTCGTCTGATGCTGCCCACCGGCTCGCTGTGCTCACGTCTTCGGTTCCCTGCTCCAGGTCCGCTGCATCGTCAGCCGTCGGCTCAGCATCTGGGGAGTTGGTTCCGATTTCGAGTCCCAGCAACTAACTCAGCTTCGGACCTTACGTAACCTACCTGCCTGATTACCTACGTGCCTCTTCTTCTGCAGGGCTTGGGGAGCGATTTAGGCCCCCCGGCCACATGGGCCCCCCATGTGTTATGGGGCTTATGGGAAGGCGTGACAACACAGTAAGTCCCCCGGTTTAGGCACAAGTAATATATTGGACTCTAAATCAACCGGGTTTCTTAACTGCTGCCACAAACATGCAGGTTCTACGTGCTCTCTCTCTCTCTCTCTCTCTCTCTCTCTTGCCTGAAGTTGGTCAGTGAGTGGGTCTGTCTTGTCGATACAAACGAAAAGACATGTGCACAAATGCAAAACATGGTGACATGTGACATAGACACCATAGATGGCTACTGGCATAGAAACGATAGCTGGGCGTGGTCATGTTGATGATGAAAGGCGGCATCGCAGAACTCAATCCAAGTTCCAGTTCAACTTCGATTTGTGTCACCCTGCCACAGAATGAAGGACTTGACTTAAGCTGCAGCTGACAAGAGCTCACGAGCAGCGAAGCGAAAACGACAATTCATGCTTCTCTTTCCGCACCCACTGCTTTGCTCGTGTTCTGTGCCAACAAGAGAACACACTTGCTCCACGATTCGTGCTCCTCAAGCCTTAACCCTAGGCAACCGCCGCGGCGGCGCCATGAAGGTCAACATCATCGGCATCACGTCCCCCCTCTTTTCTCAGGAGGCCCAAAGCCGGTCATGAGAAGCTTTCATGACAAACAGCCCCAGGCGCCTGCTGGAAACGCTTCATCGCGTGCCCAGTGGAGGACGAGCAGGAAGCTGTTTTTCCGTCGCTCGATTTCCTTGGCCTCGTCATTGAGGCTCCTGTCATGGCTGGACTGACCAGCTGGCTGTCGGCATTTCCTGCTCTTCTAAGAGTTCGCGTTAGCCGTGTTACCTAGTCTGAGACCATGCACAAAGGTCGGAAACTCGTGGGAAACTCTCCATGGCTCATGTCAGAAAAGTACTGTCGAAAGCAACAGTTGCCTGTCACGGGCTCACGGCATGACAGCAGAGGACGGCCCCACCAGACCGCGCCTCCACTCGTTCTGGCTGCGCTTCAGAGCTCTCTGCGCAGCCTGTGCGGCTTCCACAGGATCTGCTTCTTCATCCAACGGCAGGTGCCGCAGCAGCAGGTGGAACCTCAATAACAGCTCGGGCCTTCGCCGAATGAGAACATGGCTTGCATGAGCATTCGGCAGAACTCTTTACCGGAAGAATCTGAATCGATGGCAGGTTACAGCCCAACATCGTAGCGGGCGGAGGCACGCAGTTCCTGAAGAATGCACTGTAGCAGCTCCTTGCGAGTGAAGATGGGTTCCTTGGCCGCAAGGAATGCAGAGAAAAGCTGGGGCAAGATGTCCATGTACAACAGTGTCGATGTCAAGTACCATCTCTTGAGCTACAGCAGAATGAGGAAGACTGCAGGGGCCCTGTTCATCCCGACTCATCTCATTCTGCCCAGTTGCAAGCAACTCCGCATCGTCCCCGAAGAGAGCTGCGTTCGACAAGACATCCTGAAAGGATCAGCGTGGCAAGGTTAATTACGTTGCTAAGGACATCAAGCCCGACATGCGGTGTGCTGAAAGCCGCACGGGTCCTTCAAGCCGCGGACGGTGAAGCCGTGGTTGAGGAGCCTCAGCATGTTCACGGCAGGGATGGCGATATGACTTGCGCATGGAGCTATTTGCGCAGGTCAGGGGGCACATCCATGCAAGCCTCAACGACCCCAACGGCGTGGCTGTTCGGGTTGGCATCCTGCACCGGAATCATTGTACTATTATTGCTACTTGTATTACCATTGTTACGATTATTACTGTCAGTACCATTGTACTTATTATTGTTGCTTTACTATTACTATTACTAGTATCATCACTATTAGTACTTACTACTCTGGTTACTATTAATTATTCTTAGTACAAGCTGTAGAGCTGCACCTTCTACAACCCTAATTGATGTCCAGAAGTGAAAGTCACGGTGACCGCTACTTGTCGGGATCTGCAACGCATGAAACCATCAAGGCCAGGGCAAGCCAGGGCAAGCCAGGACTGCGATATCCCACCCCGTATGTATGCGCAGTAATATACCCTGCACTTCAACACCGAGGACTCAACCGGTCCTTCACTTCCACCAGCTTGCCCCGCATGAAATTGTAGAGTACTTTGGCCAGGGGCGGACGCACTTCGTCACACTCCAGCAACAGGATTGTCAGGATTTCCAGTGCCTCGCATTGGATGACAGTAAGTCAGTAGTAAGTCCACTATCGGATCGTGCTTCTACAGCAGACAACTTCAATCAGCCGAGTCGCTCGGGTCTTGCCCGTCCCACTTTCGCCCACGAGGATGGTCGGAACTCGCGATCGACGCCGGGCCAGGAGCTCCAGAATCTTGCAGGCGAAGTCCCGCGTGAGAACATAGCGCTCCTTCTCGAAGATCTCCTGAATGCGCCGTGGGGGAATGCCGAAAGCCAGCGACAAGGCCTCAACGCCTTGTCGCTCGTCCTCCTCTGCGGAGGGCAGCAGACCGATGCGAAAGACAGGGTCGGAGAGGAAGACTTTCTCAGGAAACCGCTCCAGCAGCTGGAGCCGGGTCGCATTGCAGTCGCAGTCGGGGCCGTGACAGCAAATGCTCTCATCGGGCTGAAAGGGATTTTGCACTAAAGACGGGATGAAGATCAGGAAGTCCTCCTGAGCATCCTGGGTGTAGGGCACCACGAAATGGATGCAGACCTCCTCTCCTCTTCCGAGCTTTTGTAGGTTGACACCCATCGTTTGCATCAGAAGAGATGCAAGTCCATTGAACTCTCGGCCATCGGATCCACTGAAGGTGCGTGACTTGGCCATCCAATTGCCAAGTATCCCTACTCGGCGCACGATCAAATCTTCGTGCGCCCGAGTCAGTGCCTCCGACAGGCCACTTGTGGCTGCGAACACCTGCAATGTGCTGGCTGAGTCCGGTGGGTTGCGGAGACGACGAAAATCAATATCCACAAAGCCCAAGTTGGATGTCTCTCCCATCTCCTCGATTACCTCGGCACCTGGGGGTACCTGTGATGGATCGATCGCTCTGACTGAGGCCAGCAGCTCCACGTCGCCGGGACGGATGTCCAACCTTAATTACTGCATGTGTATACATTTCACTTCCGCCCTAACCGATTACCCATCTCATGTCAATGCGAAAAGTACACAGACAGTGGATGCCAGCAGCGTCCCAGTGGCAAGCGTCGAGCCTCATCCAACGGGTGTGGCTGGAAGAAGGCTTGCATCAAGCGGAAGGGAAGAGCACTTGCCTGTCGCTCTCGGAATCTGTGGCTGGCATCGTGATGGTCTTGGTAGCTTTCATAGCACTGGGCGCAGAGGTCAAAGTCGGGGCAAACCTGACAAGTGTAGCACTTCCCCCGAATGGGTGTTACACCACAGGAGTTGCATTCCAAGCGGGTGTGGATTTGCTCGTCCCGGCAGCTTCTCAGCTGGGATGAGTAATGACACTCTCCCTCTTGGAGTGGGAATGTCGACACCTCGATCGAGACATCTCGACCGACAATCTCCAAAATGGGGTACAGAAGTGACAGTGTGAGTTGGTGCCCGCTCTTATGTTGCTGCGGGAAGCGTGCTTGCATCGTCTCCTCTGTGGCATAGGGCCGGAGCGAGTGGATGTCGCGCTTGCCCACGACGGCACCAACCTCCACGTGAATCCTGGTGCCATCTGGGAGGGAGACCATCTGCCCCGAGGTGGGGTCATAGAGGACCTGACACAGCAAGAGGTGCCTGAGGAAGGCATTGCTGAGCTCCCAGTCGCTGTATGCCGTCACGTCGATGTGAAGCGCGACTCGGCGGCCAGCAAGGCTGCTGTCCAGGATCTGCCTGCGAGACTCAGCGATGAACTCGCTCAACTCAAAGCCTTCATGCAAGATGCAGCTCATGATCTCCTCGTCATCCCGCATGCAGCGATGACGGATGTAGGTGCTCTTTCCCGAAGACGGGCCAGTACCCCTTGCGGACTCGGGCTCGGACGGCTCAGAGTGGTAAAGCAAGACCTCTGCTGGGCACTGCTCCCGCCAAACCTGGACAGCCTGCTCCGGGCGCACCGGCATCTCATGCACCTGCGCAGAAGCGGGGATGTACCAGGGCGATGTCAGGATCACGCCCACGGAGGAGCTTCGATCTTGCAGATCTTCGCTTGCCAGCCACTCTGCGATCAGCTTCTTGCCCTCCGGCGGAAGGCGGTTCGGCTCGACAAGCACGAAAAGCAGCTGCGAAAACCTGCGTGATCTCCATAGAAATGCCTCAACCTCGGCTTCCGGAACTCTGTCATCACAGAACAGGATCTCAGATGGCCGTGGCAGCCTCTTGGGCCCACCATCCAGCGCCAGGAAGAGGTGCGCCAGCTTCTTCAATGCATCCTCGCTGTCTTTGGCCTGGACCTGAAAGCGCCCGGGCCCGGCACAGCGGTCGTCTCTGACATGCAGATCCTCACAGCACAGGCAGAGGGCGGCCAAAGCAGCGCTGGCTTCCAGCGGCTGGTTCAGGTGGATGCCCGACAGCAAGAGTTTGGTTTCGAGGGATTCCGAGCTACACTGGCTCCACGCACTGAGCCCTTCGGATATTGAGTTCAGCAGATCCCCTGTGAGGCCTTCAGTGTATGCCTGGGCAAGCCATGCATGCAACTGGCCCCGAGGTACGAGGCCTAGCAGCGGGGCGGCTTCCATGGTGTGCAAGACCTCTTGCTTCCAAGCACCCAAGCTCTCAAACTGCAGCTGGGCCTCAACGGCCAAGTTGCTCCTCATGCAAATCTCGACGTTCTGACGGAATCTGGGATGTCCGATCTTGTGAAGTGCAGCTGCAGTGGCTGCGAGGCCGGTGTCATTACTCACAATGGCCGGCACCTTCTCAAGGAAGGCTTGAAGCAACTCGAACTTCTCTGGGTTCTCCTGCAATCCCTCCAGGCTCATCAGGCTCCTTGTGGAATACTCTGTCAGGTTGGTTGACGACACCTGCACGGTGCGCTCCACACCCGCCCCTCTGTACATGTACCAACAATAGAAGTCTGATTGGTAGCCCTGCAGGACAAGTTGCCCAGTAAGAATCTGGTCAACAGACCAGAGCAGCAATTCACTGCCCTGTCCTCCCTGACGGTCAACATTGGCAAACAGGGCACGGATGAGCTGAATCTGCGCGGCAACTCCGGCAAAGGACTCCACACGTGGTCGAGGCTTGCAGAGACCCACCCCCTTCAGCAGCCGGATGAGCGCCTCCTCAAAGGGCAAAAGAAGCAGGTGTTGCTCATACTCTGGGCCAGAGCAGTATATGATATATAGTTATATGTATATATACAATGTAATATATATGTGTATGTATATGCGAAAGATATGATACATGATATATGTGTCTTTACTCAGAGTTGTTGAAGCCAAGGCTCGGAGCGCTCTGCCTCGCTTTCGGGAGTCTCCAAAGCCAGGAAGCCCGCCAGCACGGCCGCGCACTCCCCCAACTCCGCCAGCAGTGCTTGGCGAACCTGGCCGTCATGGCATGGAAGGACGGAGACCCGACACAAGACTGATGGTTCACGATTTCCGCCAAGGGGCCTGCACTTCCTCTTCAAGGAACTGGCGCACGATGCCGACCCTCTGCTGAAACTGCTGCAAGCAGTTGGGTCCGGTGAAGCCCTGCTCCACCAAGAACTCGAAGACGCAGACTTTTTGTGAGAGGGTCTGAAAGAAGTGCAGCTCTCGAGCATCCTCGAAGTCCAGGCCAAGGGCCCGGAACTCGCGCAGCCGAAGGGCGTCGGCCTCCACGTCCACTTGCTTAGCTGAGAGGGTGTCATCCTTCAGGACTTGTAATTTCTGGAAGGTCCCGCACTCCACAGCCCAGTCGAGGCGCATGTACTGCAACGCACGCTCCACATCCGAGATGTAGCCGGAGGCAACATGTGCGTAGAAGGCATTCGTGACCATCTCACGCCTTGCTTCCAACTTGGGCTTGCCGCCTTTCTGGAACACTCCCCGAATGCTGGACAACAAGCCGCCGGCACCAGCAGCCTCCCCATCCTTCTCTGTGACGTGGCGGCCAAAGAACTCCAAGAGCAGGTCGATCTCCTTCTCCATCCTAACTTCGGGCTTCCGGAACTCGTCCACCACTAGCCTCCAGACGTCTGCGTCCACGACGCTACCTTTCTCTCCCAGTGCCAGCTTCCGAAGCTCCTCGTGACACCGCTGGACGACCTGGCCGAAGTCCTCGAAGCCCAGTTTCGCTTCCTCTTCGGTGAGGCCGTGCTCGCTAGCGAAGTTGAAAGCGAAGTGCTTGAGCAAAGGATTCACGAGGGCGGAGCCCGCTCGCATGAAGTGCTGCAAGAAGTCGAAGGTCTCCTGGCGCTGGTTGAAGCCTCTGAAAACATCGCAGGCATTCTGCACCAACCGTTGCAGCTCAAGCAACGTGCGATCCTCGCTTCTTGCCATCTGCTGTTTCAACCGGTCTCGATCGCTAGCGATCTCATCGAACTTGTAGGTCTCGACGAGCCACTCCAATAGCTGTAGACGTCTCTGGAGTTCCAGCCGAAGGTCTTCTGATGTCTGCCACTGATCACGGATCTCATCGATGAACCTAGTGGCAGTGTCCGCACACATGGCGTCCACGTTGTCCATGAGATTCATCAGATTGCGCTTGGCAGCATGGCCGTCTCCTGCGAGGACCAGCTCTGCGCAAACACGAAATGGCAGATGGCCCGCCGAGGCCACCTTGCGGAGCTGTCGAAAGAACTGCAAGCCTGCTCAGGACTGGGACCGGAAGCACGTAGAGGATTGCATTATGCCAAATTTAAAATCATGAATGTACTCACAACGATTGTGCATTACGGAGCTGCTCACCACTGTGCAGGCGAAAAAAGCAAAGTGTTTGCCTGGCCTGTCGGCACATCCTCGCCGCTACCAAACACGTCCAGCAACGGCCGCAGTCGGGGCCAGGGCTTTTCCTGAATGGCTTGCCACTCGGACACCCAGGCCTGGGCTGATGCAGTCCCTACTTGGAGGTACAACCTACTCACTTCTACTCGTTGCCGACTCCCCGCCTCAGGGTGCTCAGGCAGGTCGTCTAGGAAGCGGTGGATGAAGGTCGCATGTGATTTCAGTCGCTGGAGTACGAGCTCGGGTTGAGCCAGACGCTGCTCGACACCAAGCCACCTCAGAAATAGTTCCTCCTGTGGGGACTCCGGCGGAACATCTGACAGTTCTGGCACCCAGCATCGCAAGAATGCTTCAGATATCCAAAGCTTGGCGGTGTCTTGTTCTGAAGAACCTGGAGTCTGCATGCATACGCAGAGACTGGAGATGGCAGTGACCATTGCCTACACTGCAGCCCAGGTGCAGAGCTTGCAGATCTCGATGCTCCACTTCTCGGCTTCTTGAACGGCCCTCTCGACCCGGATCTTCACATCCTGCTCAGACACTGACTGCTCTTGACGCGACATCTCGTTCCGTGCCTGTGTCAGCACAGCCGCCGGACATCGCAACAGGAGCCGATGAATGTCTCTGACGTTCAGCCTGTGCGATGAAGCTGCACAGCACTGCAGCCACGATTAAAGATTGTCTCCATTATACTCACTCACTCGTGCGGTGGCCTCAGGCTCTGCAACACCAGCTGTAGCAAGTCAGGCAAACGACTCGTCCCGATATATTGCTCCATCAACGCCTCCCACTTGTCCAGCTCCAGGTGCAGCCCTCCGGCGCCGAGTGAAGAATGAATGAGCCGAATACTCACATTGCATCGCATCTCCCTGTCCATCCAGTCAGCAGCTGCCAAGTCGACCGTCATCTGCTGGAGAAATCGCGGAGTTCGCTTGCAGGCATCAACAAGCGCGGTTGCGAGTGCAAGCTGGCTTTGAAGTTGCCGGATGAAGGGCTCCTCTTTAGCCTGTGCAAGGCCATAGGCGCTGATATGCTGCCCGCCAAGAAGAGCAGCTCGCCACAGGCCATGCAGAAACACGAGCGCCTCACGACATGACCAGCGCTCCAGACGCATGACGACTGCCCACGTCAGAAGACGCTGCAGGTCGGGCGAGGGAAAGTCTCGTGATTGAAGAAGTGGCCAAAGCAAATGCTCGACAAAACTGGCGCCGGCTTCCTCAGATATCGTTGCGACGGGCAATCGTGGAAAGTACAACAAGCAGCATGCTAAAGCTGCAGAAGGCACATAGCAGAGATCTGCAGCCAGGCCTCGTGATGATCACGGGCAAGGGCTCTTTGCCTAACAGAGTCGGAGATGTCGCAAAGGCGGAAGACAACTCTGCTGAAGAGCTCCTCTTTCCGAGCACCTCAAATGCTACGAAGCACGCTGGAGTCAGAATTACGCGGATGCGCCGGCATTTGAGACATGGGCCTTCACAGCAAGCCTCAGCTAGCTGCAGGATGGCATCTGACTCATGGCCTCCAGTCAGGCAGCCACTCACCCGATGTATGCATTCCTTGGCACAGACTCTGACATACAGGCTCCGAATTTTGTGGAAAACGGGACCGATGCTTCACTTCAGCCCGAGGCCGAGGGTCCGCCAGGCGCTCAGCAGCCAGCTCTGCATCACAGGCACAAGTCGCAGCCAGGCCCATGTATGGAGCAACTTCCAGACCAAAGCTGGCCCTGTCCGGCGCCTGATTAGCACTAGTAACAAGCAGGTACTCCAAGTTGAAGAACTTGTTCTGGTGCTCCGTCAACGGAAGCATCTGGTGCAGCCTTGTGGAGATGTAAGCCGCCATTTCAAGCAAGCGAGCATAAGGTAGCTCTTTGGCATCCTTCTCCTCTCTTTCGGCCAATGCTTCCAGCTGCTTCAGCAAGCTTTCGAGATTCTCTTCGCCCATGTTGGCAAAGCAGGCATGTAGCTTGCCTTGAGATGCACGCAACATTGTGCTGTAGGTGTCGCGGCAAGCCTGCAACGAAGAGTGATAAACAGTTGTTGTCAGGTAATATGTCATCTTGGTGACATATGGCCATCGCTGAAACAAACACCGGATGAAGTTCGTGGCGACAACGAGGCGAGGAGTCCGCTTCGGGTCATGGAGGTCTCCTGCCCGGATAAATGCGGTGACGGACTCGGCCACTTCCTGCATGAATGAATCGAACTGAGGATTGGAACATCTTGAGAACGACTTGTAGCGCTCATTGAACTCGTCCACCCACTCAAAGATCTTGTGCACTGCCCCCACACACTTCGCCAGCATGTCATCGGCAAGCTGCGCGGTGATGGCGAACTCCATGATGCCATTCAAACTTGCCGTCCAAGCACTTTTGGCACTGAGCTCGTTCATGAGACCAAGCATTCCTGCATGGTCTGCTGTACCGGCTTTGCTCTGGTCGTTGCGCACATACATGGTTCTCAGCTGACAGTGCCTGGTCAATTGAAACGCAATCTGTCCACCCTCAGACAGCATCGCCGACCAGGCCCATGGGGTAACCGAATCCTGGCATAGCTGTCCACGCGCAGTCTTTCCGTTTCGCAGCTTTTGCGTGAACACGCCGTCGGCTGAAATCTCATATGAATACGCATTGTACACCCATCGTCCGAAGGGAAACCGTTGTGTTCCCTGCCTTGCTTCCTCCAAGAAGGGCATGACACCATCGTCAGAAATCGCCATTTTCTGCACTGAGACCTGGCCGTATGACACTGCTGAGGTTCACAACAGGGGCGCCAGCTATGAGCGCTCAGCAGTTCAAACTTGGGACTGTGCATACAGTGGCATCTGCAAAGCAACAAATTCCTTTCAAACTCGGTGCCAAAGTGCATCCATGGGCGACTGGACATGTGCAATGCGAGCCTCTGAGATTGTTGCTGGACGGATGCAAGCAGAACGACTCGTGACTTGGATTTGAGCCTTACTGGCTGCAGCAGCACCGCTCCAAGATCCCATCCTCGACACGGCCGCCAAGCTCGCTGCATGATCTCGGAATCTAGCATGGTAAGTCACCTGTCTCCTGCCTCACGCAACCTGGACCTCTTGAAAAACACATAGACGGCAGACCAAGTTGCATGAGCCCTGATGTCCAGGGTTTGGCTTGTCAGTCGGACCGTGAGACCAACCACGAACTCTGAAGGTGTAGAACTACAGTACCGAAGCCATACTCGTCACAGATGGGTTGCAGATCGCTCGCATGAAAGCATTATGACAACTGGGAGCACGGCCAATGAAACAGAATGATATGCGCCGTGCCCCTGAAGATTCTCTTGCATCGAGCAGATCGCCTTTCAGTGGCTGTCTCAAGCCGATCCACCGCCCCAGTGCATGGACATGAACAACCGTCACGACATCCTCGCCTCGCGAGGCCCAGCCGGCGCGGCCTCGGGGTCAGGCTCAGTAAAACCTGCTCATTTGGAACATACGTGCTGCAGCCAAAGTCTCACACATGAACTGCTTAAACTGCAATACAGTCTCTCACTCACTCATCTTGAACTCGATCGCCATGCCAGCCCTCTCTCCGCTTGACCTCGTGAGTGGCTTGGTGGATATTGAGCCCGGATGTTGAAGGTCTGTGCCCCGTACCCCGGAAGTCTTTGCCCCTGATCAGCCTCTGAACTGCCAGCATCCGAATTTCTAGGGCACGGAAGCAGCAGGAAGAAGCTGCAAGCAAGATGCCTTGTCAGTTCTGGAGCAGCGGCTCGCCACGAAGTGTGACGTAGGGGGTCGCTGTTTGCACGAATTCGTTGTCAGACCTTCGGCAATATTCAGCAAACCTGTATTATGCAAGCATGTTCCATGGAGACTTCTGCTGGCTGCACCCGCGGCAGTGCAGAACCTGCTGTTTTCGCAATCGCAGATATCTGTGGCCTTAGCCAATCCAGTTCAAGTGTACAGAAGTGGTCGTGGTCCGCAGTTTCTCGGGCCAAAAAACAAGTTCAACAGGATGCACCCTTTGATTAGGCCCAAGGAAGCTTTGCGCAAACATCTTCAGACCATGTTACTCTCATCGCCCTGCTCCCGTTTCTTGCAAGGCATCTTGAGCATGTACATCTGCTCTGCATCGAAGCTGCGCGACAGCTCCTGCTCCGCAGTCTGTGCTTCCCACCACTCGTCCAAACCCGCACTGCCGGGGCGAGAGACGGTGACAGTGGGCGAGGCAGAGGGCTTTCCCAGCCAGATCAACCCATCCGCTCCGACTCGGTGCTTCGCGGTCTCACTCCCCATCTTCAGCTCCACATCGTGGCCGGCCGCCAAGTCGTTCAAGCCCTTGCTCCCGGTGAAAGGCTTTAAGACATAGCTCAGGGGACTCAGCTCAAGCTTGGTGTTGATGGCGTTCACGAGGCGGTCTGCTGTTTGGGAAGGTGACACCTTCTCAGAGATCAGAGTGGGCGAAGTCTGCAGAAGCTTCTGGCACATCTTCACTGCACCGGAGTTCCCCGTGTGCAGGATGACAACCTGAACGTTCTGTTCCTTCAGCTTCAGCAGGGGTACTTCGGGCTTCCCGGTGCACGTCAGGCCCGTGTCCTTGTCGCAGAAAGGGTCGTGGCTGTCGTTGCTGTAGGCCTTTCCGTGGCACGGAGCATCGGTGATCACCACGGCCAAGCGCTCCTTTGCACTCCATGGAAGGTGACTGGCGGCGATCAAGGCCCCTGTGAGCTCCTCTGGGATGGAGCCGCCATTTCCAAGTGGCTGCTTAATCCACTTCATGATGTCATCGGTGTCCTTGGTGAACTTGCCACCCAAGTTAAACTCGTCAAGGCTGATGTTGGGATCATGCCGTTTCATGATCTCTTTGCCGCCATAGGCAAAGACAACAGGCCTCTTCAAGTTGGCTGTCTTGTCATCCCAGTCATTGTATCCGACGGCTGCCATCTCCAAGTCAACAGATGCCTCGGGCATGTGGTTGAACTTCATGGCCTTCACGGCGTCCACGATGCTTCTGCAACTTTTCTCGGCCTGGTTGATCTGCTCTTTCATGCTGCCGGTGTAGTCCAGGATGAAGCACAGCTGAGCGGTGATGACACTGGGACCTCGTTGGACAACAGGGATCTTGAAGGTCTCAAGCTGCTTTTGCAGGCTGTAGACACAGGGGATCTTTCCAGAGTCGACGTTCACCTCCAAAGCCAGTTCCAAGGCCCCCGCATAGCGGGGTGCGTTCTTGGCATCGAAGGCGGCCTGGAGCTCGGCGATAGCAAAATCCTTGGGGTCCTGGCCTTCTGGCACCACCGGCTTTCCATAGACCGGGGCATCTTCACGTCTGGTATAGAGGTGCCAGATGCAGGCCAAGAGGAGGAGGACATCCACCAAAATGGCCATGGCGATGCCAAAGGCGAGCTCGTCGAAGCCATCATCCCCGGGCTGCTGGGCCTTCACCAAGGCCAGCGCTGAGAAGCAAATCCAAGCTCGAAGGTGCATGGCACCAAAGAACGAGATGATCTGTTTCTCCGGAAAGGTCTGATGCTTGAGCCGACTGTAATCTGTCCATGCCAGGAATTCCAAGTAACACATGCGATGCAAAGAATAACATCATCAGCTGGCCTGCTGAAAGCGGCACGCAAGAGCCGACTTCTGTGGGGGCTTTTCCAAAGCGGGCTAGGGACAGTGAGAGCACACACGCGCAAGAAAATCTGCATGACGCATGCTCCCAACCTCCTGAAGCGCGTCGAACTCCTGCACGAGGTCGCGGCGGAGACTGCCTGCTGCGGTACACATCCAGGCCCGCACGCCAGAATTACTTTAGATCATCAGCCACGACACCCTCGCCCAAAAAATGGCATCCTAAGCCTTAAGCCTTAAACCATCTATTCCGTAAACCTCAACCCCAAACCCCGAACCATGAAACCCGAAATATACTTAACACTGACCGTAGAACCATGCCGCCATCACCTGCCACCATCTCGGAATTGGCACCGACTGAACCAAGGAATCGCAACACAACTCACCATCAGGGCCTCGCTCAAACAATCCTCCGGCGCGAAGCCCAAGAAGCCCCGAGCCTGAAAATGTAGCTATTGGAAGTTTCTGCAGCAGTTGAATCGTTTCTCAAGACTTTCCCTTTTTCAGCTACGAGGGCCGAGGGACGAGGCCGGGACCCTGAGCCATCATCTTCTTCTTCATCGTCATTGCAGGTTCGTTTCTCATTCAGCTTATGAGTAACACGTATGCTTATAAGTAATCCTGGTGGTAGCAGCAAGACTGACAGAAACACCAACAACACCAATGTTGATAACAAAGTCGGAACTTGACCATACTGCAGCCAAGCGACCATGCGGCCTCCGAGAGCAGCGAGATGAGCAGGTCAAAACCTGAGCAGAGCGGAGAGCAAGCATGGAAGCAATTGCAAACACTTGGGCATTGGCATGGTATGGGCAAACGAATTGCTGCTTGCGTTGCTCTTCTTCAAAGTATATACTGGCAACAGTCAAGAATTCCTGGGTGAAACACGATCGAGAGCTATGATCAGCAATACACCTGAAACTGCTTTCGCCTCGTTCAGCGAATCGGCTCCTCGCGTGAGAAGCAACAGCCTGAGAAAAACTTTCGAACCCAAGGGAACCATGACTCGGGTGAAGAATCTTCACTGTTGCTCTTCACCGGCGACTCCTGATTCCCGCGAACTGGCTGCTCTTTCGTCACTGCCTTTGCCTCCTCCTGTGCATCTTCTTCCGATTCCGTCGAATCCACTGTTGATTCACTCGAAATTTTGAAGGGTGGGCCGCTTGATGTCAGTGATTTCGAAGCCGCGGCATTGACTCCTAACTGCTCCCACGACTGCTGGAGGGCATCGCTCTCCGCTTCGAAGATATCCACCTCTCCCAACAAGCCTTTCTGAAGCATCTCGAAAAAACCCAGATTTCCATGCACGTCTGCTTTCGTGGACAAGCCGCGACGGCCAGCCCTACCAAGTAGCTGGAACACCGTGGCTGGCGTGCACTCTTGCACGATGGATGGCGCCAAGATCACGTTGGAGATGCGGAAGTTTACGCCGTGAGCCACCGTCGCATCCGCCACTAGCAAGTGGAGGTGGCCATGTTGAGCACGCTCAGCAACAAAATTGGCATATTGCGGTCGTGCCTGGTTGATCTCGTCGGTGAACACACCAATCCCAGCAATCAACAGAATGATCATATCTTCTTCTGATTTCGTCGTGGATTGGAACCCTTGCTCCAGGACACCTTGCACATCGAACATGTAATGTTACTGCAGAGCTTATGAACTTGTAAAGCGACCCCGTACTAGTCACATAGACACTGTAACAAGTAAGAAAGGACTGTACTGCCAGCAGATGAAGCACAGGAGAAGGGAGGCTTTCGCAAGAAACATTTCGCGAAGAGCTTGTCCAAGGCCTGCTGCTTTTGTTTTGCAAGCGTCGCAATGACGGACCGGTTCTCATCTTTCAGCCTTAGTCCCCCGCCGTGAAGCTTTGTCATTAGCCATGCTTCGTCTAAGTTTCTGAAACCTCTCCCTCTTGCTGCTGGCCAAGGACATCTTGCTTCGGATGTGCTCAATGTCTTTGGAAAAATATGCTGTCGTTGCTGCCTCAACGTGGTTTGTAGCCAACAATGCCGTCGTTTTGCCCAGTGATCGAGTTATTTCTAGCAGATCCAGCTTGCTGAATGAAATCTTTGCCGCTGGCATCTTGTCCGCACAAAGCTCACGGATTCGCAGCGGCCATCTTTGCAAGACCTCCAAAGCCTTGTCATAGCAGGCCGCAAGTTCCGCCTGTGGCACCTGGGACGGGCTCACCTATCGGCTTCTTGCCACCTTCACGTAAATCATACCTAGACACTGGCATTTGACCGGGCAATACGTTGTGGCTTTTGTGGGGCATCGGCATATGCGGAAAGACCCCTTGCCGTCAACGCATCTTAACTAAACACTCTCCCACCCAAAGACAACACATCGTACAACGCCTCAGGCACTGAATTCCTGTGGGCTGTTTGGGTACCCAGTTGGGTTTTGCTATGGCTTCCGGGAGCCTCCACTTCCAGATCCTGAGCCAAGGCGGAGCACGAGGCTTTGGTAACCAGCCGGGCGAAAGTTGGCTGAGAGATAGCCTCCTTGAGGAGTGCTGGATGATTTGCCATGTGACAGTTGTGGTGTGGATAAACTTCACCAGCAACTCCTGCCAGCACATTCCAGGGAACCAGGTGCTTGCTGGAGGCTATGCGCCTCACGTGCATGTTTGGCAGAGCCCGAAACAAATTCAGGGCCGGCTCGTTCAGCCGCGTAGCTGATGACAACACAAGCTGGGGTGTCGGGGCCATCAAAACGGTCTTCAGAAGCCCCACGGACTCATGGAGGCCGGTTCCCACAGTACCAGCTTCCGAGAGGAACTCGTCGAAGAACAGGAGAAAATCGAGATCTGGGCGGGCTTCGAGAATCGCTGCTGCCGCTCGTGTCGAAGCAACAACAACCCCATGATAATCCAGTGCCGCACAGCTCCCCTCCTCCACATGGGCAGGCATCCGATTCCAGATTACATGGGCACTGTACCGGATCTGTAGCTTTCCCCCTTGGAACTCTGCCCAAACAAAGCCGGCATCCGTGTGAACGGCCATGCTGCTGAAAAGTAGACGTGCTACTTCCAGTCTCACCGAGCGCTGTTGTTCCGGGCAGACATACAACACCTTACGCCCCGTTTTGGGCACGGTGCCAGCCAAAGCCAGAATTGACATGGTTTTGCCAGCGCCCATTGTAGCTTCGTAAGCTACTGTGAACGCTTCGCTGGCATGACGGATAACTAAATCTGCAAGTTCTCGTTGATGATCTAGCAAAGTCTTTGGATCATTTGCCAGCATCTGCAAGGCGAAATTTTTCTTCTCAACCGAGAACGACTCGGGAGACACTCCCTTTGTGATATCGTCGGGCAACGTCATGAGATGCTGCCGCGTACCAGTCAGGGCAAAATCATCCTCTTCACCGCCTTCCAGCTCGTCCCAATCCTCATCCTCCACACTGCTCATGATTGCTCAGGTGGCGACGCTTGACACAGTTCCGAGCCAAAAAGCTGATGGGCGCCAGGATGAAGCACCCTGCTCGAAGCTTCAACTCTGATGCCGATGGGCCTTTGTAAGCACCGGTGCAAGCCTAGCTGAGGTTCAGACGACGAGTCGAGGCACTTTCGGGGGCGTCCTGCCATGCGGAGAAAACCAGGCCCACTGTGCTGTTCACAGCTTTCCTCTCACTCCTCTTCACTCACTTCTAGGTTTGGGAGGGGTCCCTGACTCCCGCCTATATGCTCCAATAAGCCCGGCTCGTACTTCCCCTGAAGCAGGTGTTTGTGAATTCGACACAAATCAAGCCCAATACCTCCTCTGTGCATTAACTAGCAAGAGAGACTTGTTCATGCCAAGGCCACTGGCGAAGATTGCTTTCATCTTCGCTAAGGCCGAGTTTCTCCATGGCCGGGAGAAATCACAACCCAAGAACATTGCAACACTCACCAGAAGAACTGTCTCAGGCAACCGTGAACAACATCATGGCTCGAGGTTGAGCTTGCCTAACGAAAAACTGCCAAAGATTGCCAAAGGCATGTTCATATGACTTCATGCTAAAGTATTTGCCCCGAAGCTTCGCGTGATCTTGGTGTGTGCCAAGAAGACAGGGGGGCTCCCGCAGTCCAACAGCACTTGGACGTGAAGGTTGCGGCCCAACCTGCTCAGACATCCCACAAGCCGTTCATATCAGTGTTCCCTTCTAAGCCGTGAGGCTGTGCTCAGCATCTTAACACGAGCCAACCCCATGTGCACAAGACACCCCAGTCATGCGAACTGCCAACACGCCCAAACCATCCTGGATCGGGTTCAGCTCCTCTGGCGAACCTCAACCCTGTGCTCACAGTTCACAATGCGACTTCGTGCAGCGTGATGTGGCTGAACCTCACCACTTGTAAGTATCTACCTGTCTTAAAGAAGCGATGTAACCTTTCCAAACCGTTGCCAAACGACATTCAAGCCAGCAGGTCGAGTCTAGAGTGGCATTGCCTGCCTATTCAGAACTGATGTCCAGCTCTTGAGGTTATTATTAGTCACCGTCCAACATGGTGCCGAGTGCCCAAGCACCGTCCTCAAGGCTCCTACAAACCCTGAAATGATGCCCCAAAAAATGGCATCCTAAGCCTTAAGCCTTCAACCATCTATTCCGTAAACCTCAACCCCAAACCTCGAGCCATGAAACCCTAAATAAACGTAAATCTGACCGTAGAACCATGCCGCCATCACTAGCCACAATCCCGGAATTGGCACCGACTGAACCAAGGAATCGCAAGACAACTCACCCTCAGGGCCTCGCTCAAACAATCCTCCGACGCGAAGCCCGAGAAGCCCCGAGCCTGAAAATGTAGCTATTGGAAGTTTCTGCAGCAGTTGAATCGCTTCTCAAGGTTTGACTTTTCAGCTACAAGGGACGAGGGACGGGGCCGGTCCCCTGAGCCATCATCTTCTTCTTCATCATTATCATTGCAGGTTCGATTCTCATTCCGGGGATTGAAGGTTGCCCACACATGCCAAGTCAGACTTTAAAAATGGCTCTATCAAGGAGGTTGTACGGTGCGAAGTTGTCATCGGGCCTGACAGGGGGTTCACGAGTTGCGGTTGTTCTGTGAAGCTTAGGCTTTTTTGGGGGGTATATGACGCTATGATTTGGGCTAGGCTTCAACATAATTCTTCACACGGAAGCTTTTGAATAACACGCATGCTCATAAATACTCCTGGTGGTAGCAGCAAGACTGGCAGAAACACCAACGACACCAATCTTGATAACAAAGTCGGAACTTGACCATACTGCCGCCACACTTTGCTTGGTCGCACGCGGCCTCCGAGAGCAGCGAGATGAGCAGGTCAAAACCTGAGCAGAGCGGAGAGCAAGCATGGAAGCAATTGCAAACACTTGGGCATTGGCATGGTGTGGGCAAACGAAATGCTGCTCGCGTTGCTCTTCTTCAAAGTACTGGCAACAGTCAAGAATTCCTGGGTGAAACACGATCGAGAGCTATGATCAGCAATATACCTGAAACTGCTTTCGCCTCGTTCAGCGAATCGGCTCCTCGCGTGAGAAGCAACAGCCTGAGAAAAACTTTCGAACCCAGGGGAACCATGACTCGGGTGAAGTATCATCATTATTGCTCTTCACCGGCGCCTCCCGATTCCCGCGAACTGGCTGCTCTTTCGTCACTGCCCTTGCCTCCTCCTGTGCATCTTCTTCCGATTCCGTCGAATCCACTGTTGATTCACTCGAAATTTTGAAGGGTGGGCCGCTTGATGTCAGTGATTTCGAAGCCGCGGCATTGACTCCTAACTGCTCCCACGACTGCTGGAGGGCATCGCTCTCCGCTTCGAAGATATCCACCTCTCCCAACAAGCCTTTCTTAAGCATCTCGAAAAAACCCAGATTTCCATGCACGTCTGCTTTCGTGGACAAGCCGCGACGGCCAGCCCTACCAAGTAGCTGGAACACCGTGGCTGGCGTGCACTCTTGCACGATGGATGGCGCCAAGATCACGTTGGAGATACGGAAGTTTACGCCGTGAGCCACCGTCGCATCCGCCACTAGCAAGTGGAGGTGGCCATGTTGAGCACGCTCAGCAACAAAATTGGCATATTGCGGTCTTGCCTGGTTGATCTCGTCGGTGAACACACCAATCCCAGCAATCAACAGAATGATCATATCTTCTTCTGATCTCGTCGTGGATTGGAACCCTTGCTCCAGGACACCTTGCACATCGAACATGTCATGTTACTGCAGAGCTTATGAACTTGTAGAGCGACCGCGTACTAGTCACATAGACACTGTAACAAGTAAGAAAGTACTGTACTGCCAGCAGATGAAGCACAGGAGAAGGGAGGCTTTCGCAAGAAACATTTCGCGAAGAGCTTGTCCAAGGCCTGCTGCTTTTGTTTTGCAAGCGTCGCAATGACGGACTGGTTCTCATCTTTCAGCCTTAGTCCCCCGCCGTGAAGCTTTGTCATTAGTCATGCTTCGTCTATGTTTCTGAAACCTCTCCCTCTTGCTGCTGGCCAAGGACATCTTGCTTCGGATGTGCTCAATGTCTTTGGAAAAATATGCTGTAGTTGCTGCCTCGACGTGGTTTGTAGCCAACAATGCCGTCGTTTTGCCCAGTGATCGAGTTATTTCTAGCAGATCCAGCTTGCTGAATGAAATCTTTGCCGCTGGCATCTTGTCCGCGCAAAGCTCACGGATTCGCAGCGGCCATCTTTGCAAGACCTCCAAAGCCTTGTCATAGCAGGCCGCAAGTTCCGCCTGTGGCACCTGGGACGGGCTCACCTATCGGCTTCTTGCCACCTTCACGTAAATCATACCTAGACACTGGCATTTGACCTGGCAATACGTTGTGGCTTTTGTGGGGCATCGGCATATGCGGAAAGACCCCTTGCCGTCAACGCATCTTAACTAAACACTCTCCCACCCAAAGACAACACATCGTACAACGCCTCAGGCACTGAATTCCTGTGGGCTGTTTGGGTACCCAGTTGGGTTTTGCTATGGCTTCCGGGAGCCTCCACTTCCAGATCCTGAGCCAAGGCGGAGCACGAGGCTTTAGTAACCAGCCGGGCGAAAGTTGGCTGAGAGATAGCCTCCTTGAGGAGTGCTGGATGATTTGCCATGTGACAGTTGTGGTGTGGATAAACTTCACCAGCAACTCCTGCCAGCACATTCCAGGGAACCAGGTGCTTGCTGGAGGCTATGCGGCTCACGTGCATGTTTGGCAGTGCCCGAAACAAATTCAGGGCCGGCTCGTTCAGCCGCGTAGCTGATGACAACACAAGCTGGGGTGTCGGGGCCATCACAACGGTCTTCAGAAGCCTTATGGACTCATGGAGGCCGGTTCCCACAGTACCAGCTTCCGAGAGGAACTCGTCGAAGAACAGGAGAAAATCGAGATCTGGGCGGGCTTCGAGAATCGCTGCTGCCGCTCGTGTCGAAGCAACAACAACCCCATGATAATCCAGTGCCGCACAGCTCCCCTCCTCCACATGGGCAGGCATCCGATTCCAGATTACATGGGCACTGTACCGAATCTGTAGCTTTCCCCCTTGGAACTCTGCCCAAACAAAGCCGGCATCCGTGTGAACGGCCATGCTGCTGAAAAGTAGACGTGCTACTTCCAGTCTCACTGAGCGCTGTTGTTCCGGGCAGACATACAACACCTTACGCCCCGTTTTGGGCACGGTGCCAGCCAAAGCCAGAATTGACATGGTTTTGCCAGCGCCCATTGTAGCTTCGTAAGCTACTGTGAACGCTTCGCTGGCATGACGGATAACTAAATCTGCAAGCTCTCGTTGATGATCTAGCAAAGTCTTTGGATCATTTGCCAGCATCTGCAAGGCGAAATTTTTCTTCTCAACCGAGAACGACTCGGGAGACACTCCCTTTGTGATATCGTCGGGCAACGTCATGAGATGCTGCCGCATACCAGTCAGGGCAAAATCATCCTCTTCACCGCCTTCCAGCTCGTCCCAATCCTCATCCTCCACACTGCTCATGATTGCTCAGGTGGCGACGCTTGACACAGTTCCGAGCCAAAAAGCTGATGGGCGCCAGGATGAAGCACCCTGCTCGAAGCTTTAACTCTGATGCCGATGGGCCTTTGTAAGCACCGGTGCAAGCCTAGCTGAGGTTCAGACGACGAGTCGAGGCACTTTCGGGGGCGTCCTGCCATGCGGAGAAAACCAGGCCCACTGTGCTGTTCACAGCTTTCCTCTCACTCCTCTTCACTCACTTCTAGGTTTGGGAGGGGTCCCTGACTCCCGCCTATATGCTCCAATAAGCCCGGCTCGTACTTCCCCTGAAGCAGGTGTTTGTGAATTCGACACAAATCAAGCCCAATACCTCCTCTGTGCATTAACTAGCAAGAGAGACTTGTTCATGCCAAGGCCACTGGGGAAGATTGCTTTCATCTTCGCTAAGGCCGAGTTTCTCCATGGCCGGGAGAAATCACAACCCAAGAACATTGCAACACTCACCAGAAGAACTGTCTCAGGCAACCGTGAACAACATCATGGCTCTAGGTTGAGCTTGCCTAACGAAAAACTGCCAAAGATTGCCAAAGGCATATTCATATGACTTCATGCTAATGTATTTGCCCCGAAGCTTCGCGTGATCTTGGTGTGTGCCAAGAAGACAGGGGGGCTCCCGCAGTCCAACAGTACTTGGACGTGAAGGTTGCGGCCCAACCTGCTCAGACATCCCACAAGCCGTTCATATCAGTGTTCCCTTCTAAGCCGTGAGGCTGTGCTCAGCATCTTAACACGAGCCAACCCCATGTGCACAAGACACCCCAGTCATGCGAACTGCCAACACGCCCAAACCATCCTGGATCGGGTTCAGCTCCTCTGGCGAACCTCAACCCTGTGCTCACAGTTCACAATGCGACTTCGTGCAGCGTGATGTGGCTGAACCTCACCACTTGTAAGTATCTACCTGTCTTAAAGAAGCGATGTAACCTTTCCAAACCGTTGCCAAACGACATTCAAGCCAGCAGGTCGAGTCTAGAGTGGCATTGCCTGCCTATTCAGAACTGATGTCCAGCTCTTGAGGTTATTATTAGTCACCGTCCAACATGGTGCCGAGTGCCCAAGCACCGTCCTCAAGGCTCCCACAAACCCTGAAATGATGCCCCAAAAAATGGCATCCTAAGCCTTAAGCCTTCAACCATCTATTCCGTAAACCTCAACCCCAAACCTCGAGCCATGAAACCCTAAATAAACGTAAATCTGACCGTAGAACCATGCCGCCATCACTAGCCACAATCCCGGAATTGGCACCGACTGAACCAAGGAATCGCAAGACAACTCACCCTCAGGGCCTCGCTCAAACAATCCTCCGACGCGAAGCCCGAGAAGCCCCGAGCCTGAAAATGTAGCTATTGGAAGTTTCTGCAGCAGTTGAATCGCTTCTCAAGGTTTGACTTTTCAGCTACAAGGGACGAGGGACGGGGCCGGTCCCCTGAGCCATCATCTTCTTCTTCATCATTATCATTGCAGGTTCGATTCTCATTCCGGGGATTGAAGGTTGCCCACACATGCCAAGTCAGACTTTAAAAATGGCTCTATCAAGGAGGTTGTACGGTGCGAAGTTGTCATCGGGCCTGACAGGGGGTTCACGAGTTGCGGTTGTTCTGTGAAGCTTAGGCTTTTTTGGGGGGTATATGACGCTATGATTTGGGCTAGGCTTCAACATAATTCTTCACACGGAAGCTTTTGAATAACACGCATGCTCATAAATACTCCTGGTGGTAGCAGCAAGACTGGCAGAAACACCAACGACACCAATCTTGATAACAAAGTCGGAACTTGACCATACTGCCGCCACACTTTGCTTGGTCGCACGCGGCCTCCGAGAGCAGCGAGATGAGCAGGTCAAAACCTGAGCAGAGCGGAGAGCAAGCATGGAAGCAATTGCAAACACTTGGGCATTGGCATGGTGTGGGCAAACGAAATGCTGCTCGCGTTGCTCTTCTTCAAAGTACTGGCAACAGTCAAGAATTCCTGGGTGAAACACGATCGAGAGCTATGATCAGCAATATACCTGAAACTGCTTTCGCCTCGTTCAGCGAATCGGCTCCTCGCGTGAGAAGCAACAGCCTGAGAAAAACTTTCGAACCCAGGGGAACCATGACTCGGGTGAAGTATCATCATTATTGCTCTTCACCGGCGCCTCCCGATTCCCGCGAACTGGCTGCTCTTTCGTCACTGCCCTTGCCTCCTCCTGTGCATCTTCTTCCGATTCCGTCGAATCCACTGTTGATTCACTCGAAATTTTGAAGGGTGGGCCGCTTGATGTCAGTGATTTCGAAGCCGCGGCATTGACTCCTAACTGCTCCCACGACTGCTGGAGGGCATCGCTCTCCGCTTCGAAGATATCCACCTCTCCCAACAAGCCTTTCTTAAGCATCTCGAAAAACCCCAGATTTCCATGCACGTCTGCTTTCGTGGACAAGCCGCGACGGCCAGCCCTACCAAGTAGCTGGAACACCGTGGCTGGCGTGCACTGTTGCACGATGGATGGCGCCAAGATCACGTTGGAGATACGGAAGTTTACGCCGTGAGCCACCGTCGCATCCGCCACTAGCAAGTGGAGGTGGCCATGTTGAGCACGCTCGGCAACAAAGTTAGCATATTGCCGTCGTGCCCGGTTGATCTCGTCGGTGAACACACCAATCCCAGCAATCAACAGAATGATCATATCTTCTTCTGATCTCGTCGTGGATTGGAACCCTTGCTCCAGGACACCTTGCACATGCAACATTTCATTTTACTGCAGAGCTTATGAACTTGCAAAGCGACCGCGTACTAGTCACATAGACACTGTAACAAGTAAGAAAGGACTGTACTGCCAGCAGATGAAGCACAGGAGAAGGGAGGCTTTCGCAAGAAACATTTCGCGAAGAGCTTGTCCAAGGCCTGCTGCTTTTGTTTTGCAAGCGTCGCAATGACGGACCATGTTGAGGCAGCAACGACAGCATACTTTTCCAATGGAAAAATATGCTGTAGTTGCTGCCTCAACGTGGTTTGTAGCCAACAATGCCGTAACTTTGCCCAGTGATCGAGTTATTTCTAGCAGATCCAGCTTGCTGAATGAAATCTTTGCCGCTGGCATCTTGTCCGCGCAAAGCTCACGGATTCGCAGCGGCCATCTTTGCAAGACCTCCAAAGCCTTGTCATAGCAGGCCGCAAGTTCCGCCTGTGGCACCTGGGACGGGCTCACCTATCGGCTTCTTGCCACCTTCACGTAAATCATACCTAGACACTGGCATTTGACCTGGCAATACGTTGTGGCTTTTGTGGGGCATCGGCATATGCGGAAAGACCCCTTGCCGTCAACGCATCTTAACTAAACACTCTCCCACCCAAAGACAACACATCGTACAACGCCTCAGGCACTGAATTCCTGTGGGCTGTTTGGGTACCCAGTTGGGTTTTGCTATGGCTTCCGGGAGCCTCCACTTCCAGATCCTGAGCCAAGGCGGAGCACGAGGCTTTGGTAACCAGCCGGGCGAAAGTTGGCTGAGAGATAGCCTCCTAGAGGAGTGCTGGGTGATTTGCCATGTGACAGTTGTGGTGCGGATAAACTTCACCAGCAACTCCTGCCAGCACATTCCAGGGAACCAGGTGCTTGCTGGCTGATGACAACACAAGCTGGGGTGTCGGGGCCATCAAAACGGTCTTCAGAAGCCCCACGGACTCATGGAGGCCGGTTCCCACAGTACCAGCTTCCGAGAGGAACTCGTCGAAGAACAGGAGAAAATCGAGATCTGGGCGGGCTTCGAGAATCGCTGCTGCCGCTCGTGTCGAAGCAACAACAACCCCATGATAATCCAGTGCCGCACAGCTCCCCTCCTCCACATGGGCAGGCATCCGATTCCAGATTACATGGGCACTGTACCGGATCTGTAGCTTTCCCCCTTGGAACTCTGCCCAAACAAAGCCGGCATCCGTGTGAACAGCCATGCTGCTGAAAAGTAGACGTGCTACTTCCAGTCTCACCGAGCGCTGTTCTTCCGGGCAGACATACAACACCTTACGCCCCGTTTTGGGCACGGTGCCAGCCAAAGCCAGAATTGACATGGTTTTGCCAGCGCCCATTGTAGCTTCGTAAGCTACTGTGAACGCTTCGCTGGCATGACGGATAACTAAATCTGCAAGTTCTCGTTGATGATCTAGCAAAGTCTTTGGATCATTTGCCAGCATCTGCAAGGCGAAATTTTTCTTCTCAACCGAGAACGACTCGGGAGACACTCCCTTTGTGATATCGTCGGGCAACGTCATGAGATGCTGCCGCATACCAGTCAGGGCAAAATCATCCTCTTCACCGCCTTCCAGCTCGTCCCAATCCTCATCCTCCACACTGCTCATGATTGCTCAGGTGGCGACGCTTGACACAGTTCCGAGCCAAAAAGCTGATGGGCGCCAGGATGAAGCACCCTGCTCGAAGCTTCAACTCTGATGCCGATGGGCCTTTGTAAGCACCGGTGCAAGCCTAGCTGAGGTTCAGACGACGAGTCGAGGCACTTTCGGGGGCGTCCTGCCATGCGGAGAAAACCAGGCCCACTGTGCTGTTCACAGCTTTCCTCTCACTCCTCTTCACTCACTTCTAGGTTTGGGAGGGGTCCCTGACTCCCGCCTATATGCTCCAATAAGCCCGGCTCGTACTTCCCCTGAAGCAGGTGTTTGTGAATTCGACACAAATCAAGCCCAATACCTCCTCTGTGCATTAACTAGCAAGAGAGACTTGTTCATGCCAAGGCCACTGGCGAAGATTGCTTTCATCTTCGCTAAGGCCGAGTTTCTCCATGGCCGGGAGAAATCACAACCCAAGAACATTGCAACACTCACCAGAAGAACTGTCTCAGGCAACCGTGAACAACATCATGGCTCTAGGTTGAGCTTGCCTAACGAAAACTGCCAAAGATTGCCAAAGGCATGTTCATATGACTTCATGCTAAAGTATTTGCCCCGAAGCTTCGCGTGATCTTGGTGTGTGCCAAGAAGACAGGGGGGCTCCCGCCGTCCAACAGTACTTGGACGTGAAGGTTGCGGCCCAACCTGCTCCAGACATCCCACAAGCCGTTCATATCAGTGTTCCCTTCTAAGCCGTGAGGCTGTGCTCAGCATCTTAACACGAGCCAACCCCATGTGCACAAGACACCCCAGTCATGCGAACTGCCAACACGCCCAAACCATCCTGGATCGGGTTCAGCTCCTCTGGCGAACCTCAACCCTGTGCTCACAGTTCACAATGCGACTTCGTGCAGCGTGATGTGGCTGAACCTCACCACTTGTAAGTATCTACCTGTCTTAAAGAAGCGATGTAACCTTTCCAAACCGTTGCCAAACGACATTCAAGCCAGCAGGTCGAGTCTAGAGTGGCATTGCCTGCCTATTCAGAACTGATGTCCAGCTCTTGAGGTTATTATTAGTCACCGTCCAACATGGTGCCGAGTGCCCAAGCACCGTCCTCAAGGCTCCTACAAACCCTGAAATGATGCCCCAAAAAATGGCATCCTAAGCCTTAAGCCTTCAACCATCTATTCCGTAAACCTCAACCCCAAACCTCGAGCCATGAAACCCTAAATAAACGTAAATCTGACCGTAGAACCATGCCGCCATCACTAGCCACAATCCCGGAATTGGCACCGACTGAACCAAGGAATCGCAAGACAACTCACCCTCAGGGCCTCGCTCAAACAATCCTCCGACGCGAAGCCCGAGAAGCCCCGAGCCTGAAAATGTAGCTATTGGAAGTTTCTGCAGCAGTTGAATCGCTTCTCAAGGTTTGACTTTTCAGCTACAAGGGACGAGGGACGGGGCCGGTCCCCTGAGCCATCATCTTCTTCTTCATCATTATCATTGCAGGTTCGATTCTCATTCCGGGGATTGAAGGTTGCCCACACATGCCAAGTCAGACTTTAAAAATGGCTCTATCAAGGAGGTTGTACGGTGCGAAGTTGTCATCGGGCCTGACAGGGGGTTCACGAGTTGCGGTTGTTCTGTGAAGCTTAGGCTTTTTTGGGGGGTATATGACGCTATGATTTGGGCTAGGCTTCAACATAATTCTTCACACGGAAGCTTTTGAATAACACGCATGCTCATAAATACTCCTGGTGGTAGCAGCAAGACTGGCAGAAACACCAACGACACCAATCTTGATAACAAACTCGGAACTTGACCATACTGCCGCCACACTTTGCTTGGTCGCACGCGGCCTCCGAGAGCAGCGAGATGAGCAGGTCAAAACCTGAGCAGAGCGGAGAGCAAGCATGGAAGCAATTGCAAACACTTGGGCATTGGCATGGTGTGGGCAAACGAAATGCTGCTCGCGTTGCTCTTCTTCAAAGTACTGGCAACAGTCAAGAATTCCTGGGTGAAACACGATCGAGAGCTATGATCAGCAATATACCTGAAACTGCTTTCGCCTCGTTCAGCGAATCGGCTCCTCGCGTGAGAAGCAACAGCCTGAGAAAAACTTTCGAACCCAGGGGAACCATGACTCGGGTGAAGTATCATCATTATTGCTCTTCACCGGCGCCTCCCGATTCCCGCGAACTGGCTGCTCTTTCGTCACTGCCCTTGCCTCCTCCTGTGCATCTTCTTCCGATTCCGTCGAATCCACTGTTGATTCACTCGAAATTTTGAAGGGTGGGCCGCTTGATGTCAGTGATTTCGAAGCCGCGGCATTGACTCCTAACTGCTCCCACGACTGCTGGAGGGCATCGCTCTCCGCTTCGAAGATATCCACCTCTCCCAACAAGCCTTTCTTAAGCATCTCGAAAAACCCCAGATTTCCATGCACGTCTGCTTTCGTGGACAAGCCGCGACGGCCAGCCCTACCAAGTAGCTGGAACACCGTGGCTGGCGTGCACTCTTGCACGATGGATGGCGCCAAGATCACGTTGGAGATGCGGAAGTTTACGCCGTGAGCCACCGTCGCATCCGCCACTAGCAAGTGGAGGTGGCCATGTTGAGCACGCTCAGCAACAAAATTGGCATATTGCGGTCTTGCCTGGTTGATCTCGTCGGTGAACACACCAATCCCAGCAATCAACAGAATGATCATATCTTCTTCTGATCTCGTCGTGGATTGGAACCCTTGCTCCAGGACACCTTGCACATCGAACATGTCATGTTACTGCAGAGCTTATGAACTTGTAGAGCGACCGCGTACTAGTCACATAGACACTGTAACAAGTAAGAAAGTATTGTACTGCCAGCAGATGAAGCACAGGAGAAGGGAGGCTTTCGCAAGAAACATTTCGCGAAGAGCTTGTCCAAGGCCTGCTGCTTTTGTTTTGCAAGCGTCGCAATGACGGACTGGTTCTCATCTTTCAGCCTTAGTCCCCCGCCGTGAAGCTTTGTCATTAGTCATGCTTCGTCTATGTTTCTGAAACCTCTCCCTCTTGCTGCTGGCCAAGGACATCTTGCTTCGGATGTGCTCAATGTCTTTGGAAAAATATGCTGTAGTTGCTGCCTCGACGTGGTTTGTAGCCAACAATGCCGTCGTTTTGCCCAGTGATCGAGTTATTTCTAGCAGATCCAGCTTGCTGAATGAAATCTTTGCCGCTGGCATCTTGTCCGCGCAAAGCTCACGGATTCGCAGCGGCCATCTTTGCAAGACCTCCAAAGCCTTGTCATAGCAGGCCGCAAGTTCCGCCTGTGGCACCTGGGACGGGCTCACCTATCGGCTTCTTGCCACCTTCACGTAAATCATACCTAGACACTGGCATTTGACCTGGCAATACGTTGTGGCTTTTGTGGGGCATCGGCATATGCGGAAAGACCCCTTGCCGTCAACGCATCTTAACTAAACACTCTCCCACCCAAAGACAACACATCGTACAACGCCTCAGGCACTGAATTCCTGTGGGCTGTTTGGGTACCCAGTTGGGTTTTGCTATGGCTTCCGGGAGCCTCCACTTCCAGATCCTGAGCCAAGGCGGAGCACGAGGCTTTAGTAACCAGCCGGGCGAAAGTTGGCTGAGAGATAGCCTCCTTGAGGAGTGCTGGATGATTTGCCATGTGACAGTTGTGGTGTGGATAAACTTCACCAGCAACTCCTGCCAGCACATTCCAGGGAACCAGGTGCTTGCTGGAGGCTATGCGGCTCACGTGCATGTTTGGCAGTGCCCGAAACAAATTCAGGGCCGGCTCGTTCAGCCGCGTAGCTGATGACAACACAAGCTGGGGTGTCGGGGCCATCAAAACGGTCTTCAGAAGCCCCACGGACTCATGGAGGCCGGTTCCCACAGTACCAGCTTCCGAGAGGAACTCGTCGAAGAACAGGAGAAAATCGAGATCTGGGCGGGCTTCGAGAATCGCTGCTGCCGCTCGTGTCGAAGCAACAACAACCCCATGATAATCCAGTGCCGCACAGCTCCCCTCCTCCACATGGGCAGGCATCCGATTCCAGATTACATGGGCACTGTACCGGATCTGTAGCTTCCCCCCTTGGAACTCTGCCCAAACAAAGCCGGCATCCGTGTGAACAGCCATGCTGCTGAAAAGTAGACGTGCTACTTCCAGTCTCACCGAGCGCTGTTCTTCCGGGCAGACATACAACACCTTACGCCCCGTTTTGGGCACGGTGCCAGCCAAAGCCAGAATTGACATGGTTTTGCCAGCGCCCATTGTAGCTTCGTAAGCTACTGTGAACGCTTCGCTGGCATGACGGATAACTAAATCTGCAAGTTCTCGTTGATGATCTAGCAAAGTCTTTGGATCATTTGCCAGCATCTGCAAGGCGAAATTTTTCTTCTCAACCGAGAACGACTCGGGAGACACTCCCTTTGTGATATCGTCGGGCAACGTCATGAGATGCTGCCGCATACCAGTCAGGGCAAAATCATCCTCTTCACCGCCTTCCAGCTCGTCCCAATCCTCATCCTCCACACTGCTCATGATTGCTCAGGTGGCGACGCTTGACACAGTTCCGAGCCAAAAAGCTGATGGGCGCCAGGATGAAGCACCCTGCTCGAAGCTTCAACTCTGATGCCGATGGGCCTTTGTAAGCACCGGTGCAAGCCTAGCTGAGGTTCAGACGACGAGTCGAGGCACTTTCGGGGGCGTCCTGCCATGCGGAGAAAACCAGGCCCACTGTGCTGTTCACAGCTTTCCTCTCACTCCTCTTCACTCACTTCTAGGTTTGGGAGGGGTCCCTGACTCCTGCCTATATGCTCCAATAACCCCGGCTCGTACTTCCCCTGAAGCAGGTGTTTACGAATTCGACACAAATCAAGCCCATACCTCCTCTGTGCGTTAACTAGCAAAGGAGACCTGTTCATTGCTCATGCCAAGGCCACTGGGGAAGATTGCTTTCATCTTCGCTAAGGCCGAGTTCCTCCATGGCCGGGAGAAAACAC